TAGTTATGCAGAAAAGGGCGCACTGGTTGACATTTTGTACGAGCAACGCGGGAGGACGAGCTTTACACGACGCGAGCGATGGGCAAAGCAGATCGTCCAGGGTCTTTGTGAGATCCACGAGTCGGGCTACGTGCAGGGCGATTTCACACTCGCGAACATTGTGGTGGATGCAGACGACAACGCCAAAATCATTGACATCAACCGCAGGGGATGCCCAGTGGGGTGGGAGCCCCCGGAAATTGCCGCTAAGATTGAGAGCAACCAGCGCATCTCCATGTATATTGGGGTCAAAACTGATCTCTTTCAACTGGGCATGACGCTGTGGGCATTGGCGATGGAGGAGGACGAGCCTGAACGACAACCGCGACCTCTTCGACTAGGCGATGATGCGAACGTTCCAGACTATTACCGACGGATAGTGGATATCTGTTTAAGCCAAACTCCGCGACATAGGCTCTCTGCGAAGGATCTTCTCTCTATGTTCCCCCCACTGCCGGAAGCACGGCTATCAACACCTGTTCAGTCACTGGGAACCGTTGCCAACGATGCTAGGCAATTGCCAATTAGCAACTGGGCTCAGCATCAGCCTGCTGGGCTTGGACTGGCATCGCCAGGGGGCATGATGCAGCAAGATGATCATCATTACCCCCAAAAGGAGTTTTCGGGAAATTCGTTCGGTGGTCTGCAACACCCCATATTTCCTGGAAACGACGATCTCGTCAAGCGATCCACAATAACTCTCGCTGAATCCCATGGAGACATGGAATTCCCATCTAAGCCATCTTCTTCCTCTACCTTGAATCACCACGAGCCTCAGAACAATGACGAGTACATGGATTTCTCCCGCCATTTCAACGATGGCTCGTTACCCTACCTACCTTCTGCCAGTCAGAACCCGGAAGCTACTCCAGTTTCTCAGACAAGGTCGATGGGCAATGGCTTCCACGACCACCAAGTGGAACTTCCAGCCTTCCAAAATGAGCCTGTCTGTCTCGGAAATGCCCGCACGAATACTCAGCGATATAGACCGACCTGTAATAATTCCCGACTTGGTTCTGCAATCACCGCGCCTCCACTCCCGGATCCAGTCGGCACATCTCTTGTTGAGTCGCAGAAACGTGAGGCTCTGAATAGACCAAGTCCGAAGGCCGCCAATGACGAAGGCGACCTTGAAATCTCCGCTTTACCCATCAACCCTACTTTGCGCAACTCCCGTACATCAAGTGGCAACCAGGCCATCCCTTTTTCGACAACCCCGTCTTCAATTAGGCATGCAAACCAGGACGGTATGGATCAGCTATGCTCAAAGGTCACCAATGACAAGGATGACCTTGAATCTTCATCTTTGCCCCTCAGCCCAACTTTCCATGACTCTGGGGGTTTTATCGGCCCCCAGAGCGCCCCTCGATCGGTGGACGCTTCTCCTATCGAGCCGCCCAATCAGACGTATGCGGATTTACCAAGCGCAAACGTCGAAATCAAACCTAAATTTACTCAGCCGTCGCCCTCATCATCATGTCTGTCTCTCTCGGAACTACCTATTAGCCCTACTTTCCGTTCTTCGGGAACTTCCATCGCCGCTCTGGGTACCACGCCATCGCTGAACTCTTTGCCTGTTAAACCGTCAAGGCAGGATAACGTAGATCAACCACGTGCAAAGGCTACCACCTATATCAACCCCATACCCACGACACCATCAGACTCAGCATCTTCCCAGCCTCGCCCGACATCGTCAATCAATCCTACCCTAGCTCGCTCCAGACCTTCGCTGGAGCTTGCAAACGTTCCTCTATCGGTGAAGTCACCTGTCGAGCCGCCAAAGCAGACTTGTGCGAGTTCAGCATGCGCAAATACCGCTATTAAACCCAAATTTACTGAGCCATCCCCTTCAGCATCAAGTCTGGCGGGTTCGGAATTGCCTATTAGCCCAACACTCCTTTCTTCCGAGACTTCCCTCAACACTCTAAGTGCCTCTTCCTCCAAGGTTCCTTTCCCTATTGAACCGCCAAAGCCAGAGCATGCGATTATGCCAGGCATGAGCGATATAACACATGCATCACCGTCAACACCATCTCGGTTTTCTTCAATGCAAATTTCGAGCCTCCGTCACACCGGGGCTTCCATTGGCTCTCTGGGTACGCCGTTCCCAACAAGTCCATCTGTCGTGGGAATTGGACTGCTAAGGCGGCCATGGGAAAAGCCATCTGCAAATAATCCAGATGTCAAGTCCACATCGACAATGTCATCAGGATCAACTTCATCTCTCGGGAACTTTCAGACTTCAAGGAAGCCGGAGAACGCCATTTCGCCGGCCAAAACATCCCCCATCGAGCTGCAGAGAAATGAACCTTTAGGCCAACCCAGCTCAAAGACAGCCGATATCAAGCCTGCACAAACAAATCCACTTAACTCCAACTCGAATTTGCTGGGTTCGAAATTGCCAATCAGCCCTGCTCATCCAAATTCGAAGCCTAGTTCCACTTATTCCGAGGTCGAGATGCGCGCTGTTCATGGCCCCCCTCCAACTCAGGCCAAACCGAGCATTTCGAGCCAGACACGTTTCTCCTCGAATCGAATCCAGTCGCCGATCTATCCCCCACGAACAACTTCGTGAAGCCCTTATGGGAAAATTCATACCTCGAACCAACGCAAGACCACTAATATTTTACACCGATCTTGCTACATTGGCCGCCACCCACGACGCCACGACCCATTTCTCCGAACGAGCCCCATATTCGGGGCCGAGCACTCGATACCCTTTTGATTTGCTCTGCTTGTACAGTTTATGCCTCGTCGTTTGCCTCGTGTTATTCAGCTTTTGGAAGCATTTATACCGATGGCGGACGAACCCCTGGAGTCCTAAAAAGTCTTTTGCATTTTATTTGTTTTTCGGCTTTTTTTCTTTGCATTTTGGCGGATTTTAATTGGATTTCGTTCTGGTAGCTCTTCTTTTGTTTTCTCTACCTGTTTTGTGCTGTCTTTTTCTCGCTTCCTTGCTGTTTATTCTATCATTTGTCTGTTTTCTCTTCAACGGAGGCCCTTGTTCTGCGTTCTGGTGTTCTCACCCAGAAGTCGATGTATATTGATGGGATCTTTTTATACCTCTTCTTGTCTGACAGGGCTGTATTATTTTTCTTTTTTTTTCGTTATGTGGCAATGCAATTCTTGGCTAGAACTGGCCTTCGCATTCTAACCGTAAATAGGCCCCGCTGTCTCCTTCCATGGAGCAATGACTTCTCTTTGCTTGATCATAGACAATGAATTTCCCTCATTTTGCGACCAGACAGGACTCAAAACTTTCCTGCCAAGGTTCTACACTTGACCCTAGTCCTCGTCCAATCAGCACAATCTTGCACTGAAGTGGTTTGGATTTGTCCTCGGTGTTTATGGGCTCCGCATCTCGAATCTCGAATACATCCCGTACGGCTTGGATGATTCTGCTAGTCCCGTCATTCAGGATCAGTATACCCTTTAACCGGTGAACCTCAAAGTCTACGGGGTGTGGCTCGGATGAGACTGATTTCGCAGGTGCAGGGAATGTCGTATCCCACAAAACAGAGCGCAGCCAGGCATCCACGCAGTTGACCTTGTCTGCCGGGATTGGAGGCCTGACGATCGCAGTGGTGGAAATTGCCTGGTTATAGTTAGAATCACGGGATCATTCCCTCTTTGCAACAAGCAGGAGACAGAAGACAATGTATACATACCGGGTCCATATGGCTATGTCCCTTCTTACTGAAGTCTAAATCCGCCAAGTGATCATAAGCATGTAAATCTAGCACAACGCCCTCAATCTGCGGCGTCCGGCTATGATCCGTCACATGAATCTTAGCCACGCTGTTGATAGAGGCAACACGATCTCGCACAGCGTCTAGCTCCTGGTCCGTAACTAAATCCGTCTTGTTGAGGATCACCACATCCGCGTGCGAAATCTGCATATGCGCCATAGACAGAACAGGACCAGAACCGTGGTCGTGGTGCACATCGTGCGACTCGGCCTTCTCTTCAGGCGCCGGCTCGTCCAGCAATCGCGTGATGTTCTTTGCGTCAACGAGAGTGACAATCCCATCGAGGTAGATAGAGCTGCCGAGGCCTTCGTCCATCCAGAAGATCGGCGCGATGTTGCCCGGGTCGGCGAGACCGGTTGTCTCTAGAAGGATGTAATCGAAGGTGCCGCGGCGTTCCATCAATGACTCGATGGCCATTACGCCTGAGTCTTTCACGGAGCAGCAGATGCAGCCATTTCCGACTTCCATCCATTCGGTCACTCCTTGGCCGCCCTGATTTACGGTCATTGGTTTTTCAATATCCATTGCTTTGTGATATAATGTTAGAATGTAAGTTTTTGGTCCTTGCGGTTGGATGCCTTACAGTCACCAAATTCTGCAAATGCATTAGCTATATATATCATATCTCACAGCCTTGTGTAATAGACGAACCGTTCATGATCACGGCAATTTTCTTGCCGTGTTTCTCCGTCAGGATATAGTTCAACAGGGTCGTTTTCCCCGCCCCCAGGTATCCTGATCAGTGTATTAGTCTCATGTTATGACTTAAATCAATATACATTATATTCAATCATACCAGTAACCAGCGTGATAGGCACTCGAGCTGTTGGTTCTTCATCTACCGATGTTTGGCCTGCCGGCATTGCCGACACGTCGATAAGCTCCGGAGGTGCATCCTCATCTTCAAAATTGGCAGACATAATACTCTTTGAATGTTGCGTAAATATATAGAAGAACAGAGAGTCTAAAGAAACAGAAAGCTCGTACATGTAGCGGATGACGTTGTTTCCCAAAATAGACATTAGGGTACAGGGCTCGGGCGGTCAGCCGTTGTTATGTTGATGGTTGTTATCTTCAGCGTCTAGGCTTGCTCTCAATACTCGACCTTCGCTTTCATTAACACAGTTCAACAGGGCGTCTAGGGATCATCCACTCTTTTATTTGTTTCTCGGTTCCTCTCCTTTCATCTAGCGCCCTAGTTATACTACCGTCATGACTGCTGCGGGAGTCTCCCCGTCAAGCTCCCCGCGGCTTCCCAGCCCTCCTCCCTTTACTGAGGTTCAGATTGGGCCTCAGTCGCCGTCGGTCGGCGAATCCTTTGGCAAAGACGCAGACCTGCTTGGTGTTGCGATTGGAGAAAACGATGGCTCGACGCGCAGAATCCGGCCAGGGACCAAATCCGCCAACATGGGCCTGCCGGTGATTCCCCTTTCGCAGGTGAGTTGCTCCCGCTAGCTATTTTGGACGTTACTGATAAAATCAGCTTAATTCTCCATTTCAGCTTCAGGAACACCTCAAAGCCCAGTACCATAAGCTTGCGCCCCAGTACCCCAAGCTCAAGGAGAAGTACGATACGCTTATGGAGAAGTACGATGTGCTTATGAAGGAGTACAATGAGTGCAAGTGCGAAGCATCTGACAATGCGGACCCGAAGTACGATGTACTTATGAAGGAGTACAATGTGCTTATGGAGGAGTACAATAAGCAGAACCCAAACGAATTTGACAAGGTGGACCCGACTAGCGAGGTTGCGACAGAGCCGACAGAACTCCCGGAGATCGACGTTGCGAAAAAGCCAAAAAAGCCGGAGAGCGAGGTTGCGAACGAGCTGACGAAACCTCCGAAGGGAGTCGATGAGACGGTTTGGAAATATGAACTGTGCCGCTTCTTCACTATAGAAGCTAATCGCCTCATCGAGGGCTTTTTCGCTGAGAGCCCGCCCTGCTCGGTGCAAACTTGTCCCGAGATGCGAGTCAACGATTGGCAGTATATTTGCGCGGGCGCGGGGCACCCGAAAGCCAAATATTGCTGCGCAATTGACTATTGCTGCCATACTCTGGATTGGGCTATGAACATCCTCACCTCGAAGAAAAAATTCCCCAGCCGACTTAGATTGCCAGATGATGAGAGTACCACGAACCCCTTACATGATATCTTCCGCCGCCTTTACCGCTTCTTCGCGCACGCATGGTTCCGGCATCCTGGTGTGTTTTCCAAGGTAGAAAAGCATGGCGGTCTGTACGTCTTTTTCAAGACCGTTTGTGTTTACTACAACCTTATCACGGACTACACGATTCCCCTTAAGGCTGGAGGACCAGATGAAGTCGCAGCAGCTCAGGAAAGGCAAGAGGCCAAGAAGAGGAAGGAAGAATCCGAGGAAAAACCTGTCAACAGCAACAACCGTTTCACTATTCTACGCAAGGAAGATGAAAACTCACTTGGTACTGCTGTGGAGAGTCAGGACCCGGCGCTCGCCACTGGCGCGACCGCCCGTCGCCACAAGCACAGTCCTTCAACAGGATCGCGGGTTACAACTATCGCGGAGGATGCGGAGGATCTGGAAGATATTACGCCTCCGCCGCGTGAACCTCGGAAGCAATCGCCCGAATCAAGGCCTGTTTCTGTTTTAGAAATACGGACTAGAGAGGAGCCTACTGAGCCACCTACTGATGTGGGAAAGTCTTCCGAAGAGCCAGTTGAGCAAGCTCAGGAACAGCCGCCACAAGGACCCTATGAGCAGCCATCTGAAACTCCTGAAGGCCAGGAAAAGACTGAGCAGGTCGAGCAAATTGAGGAGTCGGCTACAAAAACAGAATCGTCCATCGACAAGTATGCTACGGAAGGCGATGAAAATACGACTTCCTACGAAGAGGCAACTCCAGCTGAGGAGCCCGAAGCAGAGATTGAGGTGCCGAAAAAGCATCCCGTTGCCCCTGAAACCAAACACGAGCCAGAGAAAGAGGACTCTTGATATCAACATCCTCTCTAACCTTTCATGCCAATCTCACACTGATGATAATGGATTGTTCGTATGTATCCCTCATGTTCCTTTTTTTGTTCCCTTGCGATCGGCGATGAGTCCCAATTTTTTAACTGCCGAGTACTCTTTTTGTAATATAGTTCAGGATATTGTTTATGGCCAATGTCAGTGATACCCATTCTCCTGTGCTTTCTCGATATATTCATGGATCAAACAAAGAATTTATCTCGTAGATCTTACCTAGACAGCCGCACCGGTATCTACGTATACATTGTGTCCGTAGGTACATAGTACATGTACATGTATGTTAGTCCACAGAAGGGGGTGCCCAGGTGATGTTGATATCTGATAAGCGCTTATCAACACATCCCGCGACATCACCGAAAAGCCAACAGCACAGCCTTCCAAATTCACCTCAATTCTTATAGGTATCCAACTCTGACATGTCATCTCTCAAAGGCGCTACAGCACCAATTCACTTTGGCTCCTTCATTGTTACACCACAGGTAAATTTCTCATGAACCCAAACTACCCCCTGTCTCAACCAACCACCAACCACATTATAGCACAAACGAGCCATAGACACAAGCACCCATAAACAGAACTAACCCTAGCACAACAACGTAACTAACAACTCACTCCTAAACCCCAGGTCTTCCACACAACCCCCTTAACCTTCGCCCTGGTAAACCTGAAACCAATCCTTCCAGGCCATGTCTTAGTCTCCCCGCGGCGCGTTGTCCCCCGCGTCACAGACCTCACCCTTGCCGAAACAAGCGACCTCTTCCTAACAGTGCGGCGCGTGGGCCGCATGGTCGAGCGCGTATACGGTGCCACGAGCTTGAACATTGCTATTCAGGACGGCGCGCACGCCGGCCAGAGTGTGCCACATGTCCATGCGCATATCATCCCGCGCAAGGCGGCGGATCTAGATCATGTCGGCGGCACGGATGCGGTTTATGACTTGCTGGATGGGGATGAGGGAGATTTAGGGAAGGCATTTAAGAATGCTGTTCCTACGGAAGAGGGTGATCAGTCGACTGAGGTTGAGAATGGAAGTGCTGCGAATTCGGGGAGAAGGTCTAGGTTCCCTATTGTGGATAATGAAGCGCGCAAGCCTCGTGATGAAGAGGATATGAGAGCCGAGGCTGAGATGTTGGCACGGGAGATGGAAAATGAGCCTCTTGATTAATTCGGTTGATGCCTTGGATGTGAAGGTCCGGGGCAATTGTACACATATGAGTCTAATAGAGAACAGATATGACAGTTTATCAGTAAGTTACACCCTCAAAAAAGTCCTGGACGGCCCCGCTTCGAAGGTCATTGATGACCTGTTGATATATTGGGAGATCAGCATTGTCCCACGCCACTATCTTTATCCGAAGGGTCATGCATATCTATGAAGGCGCTTGCAAAAGCCATCCATGAATTTGATGTCATAATTGAACACCAATTGATCGTTTCTTCAATCTTCAGGAAAGAGGAGGTCGGCAAGCGTCGCCTCGTCGAGGACAAAACAGGCTGAGTTGCGAGCGGGAGGCCACAAGCCGAATTCTTCACGCTCGTTATCGTGCGGTTGTAGAGCTCAGATTCGAGATCTAACGTTAGCTCTCAACCCTACGCAGACACGATCGTCAGACGCCTCAGCTAAGAGATCTTTCTCCTCAATCACATCGAGTTTGAACCGGAGAATGAGCTCGCTGCCGTACGCTGATTAGGTTTCACTACTTCACATTTGACACCGCGTGTTATTCATTCCCTCTACCAAAGCTTCAATTGCTCACGGGAGCGTTTCTTGGGCATCATCCGAGTAGCTCGTCACAAACACATAGAACCCTAGGTGGAATCTGGGATTGTTATCTTCATAGAACTTCCCGAGATCCTAGTTGGCTAAGGAGCCAGCTTACTTCGTCTCCGGTAGCTTCGCATCTTCTGTCGACATCAGCCACTGCGCTGTGGCCAGATGATCATATAGCGAAGCTACGGTCTTGCGGCACTGCACAAACTTAGAGAGTTGGATCGACTGGGGTGTAAAGACAGATAATCGATGGTGTTCCTCGCCGCTCATTTTGAGTTGAAGACTTGGAAAAGCTGAGGACTTGAAGTTGCTATGTAGGCAGAGCGGTATGTACTCACCGGATATCAAGTGTAGTGAAAATGAAAGTTATACTACACCTAAAGCTTCCTAGAAATCAAGTGTTCTCGTAACTCGTCCTCTGTGGTATCAAAGTACCCGGGGGGGGGGAAGAAAGGCAAAAAATAAAAATCAAGAAACAAACGCCGAAAATGCAATGGGTCTCTTAAACGACAAGCCCAGTGCATGCGAGACTCCCCATAACCCATTTCCTGCAATTATGCGCAAACTGCATGCATATTTATGCCTTCTTCGGTCTCTCCTGAATAACCTCCGCAGCCCACACCTGAATCTCGGGCAACTGAATGCGCGAGGCGACGTGGGTGAACTCAGTGAGATCAACCTCGTTTGAGCGCTCATACTCGACCATCTGCAACAGCAGTTCCATCTTGTCGATATCATGCACAAAGTGAGCCTCAAGGGTTTCGTCCTTCTCGTATTCCTCAAACACTTTCTTGATCTCCCCGCCAGAAAAGGCGCCTCCGGGTACCTTGCTGAGGAGGGTACTCGTGATGTAGTCCATAACGGAGGCCTCGCGACGAGCCTTCTCGGCCTTGGTGATGTGGTGATCGACTGGAGTTATATCGCCGACAAGCGCCTCGGCCATGTCGTGGATCAAGGCCATCTTTGTGCAGTGCGGGATGTTGATCTTAGTTGCCAGGGACGGCGGGGCCATCATCGTCATGATCGACATGCGGTACATATGGTCAGAGATCGACTCGCCATTGATGCCAAAGCGGCGCCAGCCCTCGCGCTTGGTGGTCTTAAGGCGCTCAATCAAGTGGAAGAAGGGAACGGGTGAGGTAGAGTTCTCCTCTGGGCGGTGGGGGAGCGTAGAGAGCACTACAGATCTCAGCTTTGCGGGGTCTAAGAAGAGGAATTCCAGGCTTACCGGTCTCCGGGGTCCACGTAGAGTTGTCAGTAACCATGGCTGGTGTCCTTGAAGGGAGAGAATGACTGAGAGGAAGAAAGAAATACAACCAAAGATGATAATTGAGGAGAGAAAAAACAAACTACAATGAACGCGGGACTGATAGGCATTGCAAACAGTGCAAACCTTCGTTATCAGTGTTTACTCTCTGCCGCCTGTTTACCAAAGTCCTCTTCGACACAGGATGGCTGCAACAAGGCCTGTTCGGCAGAAACCCCTTGACTGGCCAGGTCCGTCGCATTTGGATGTGTTTGTTCGCAATCTAAAGCTGTTGCATCTGGATCAACGCGACGATTGGCCCGGTATATCTCTCCGCAACTTGAACCCGACCTTACAGAACCAACGACACCGAATCCGACTGATAGAATGGGCCCTGTATCACCTCTGCACCATTTGGGATCCAGATAGCGCCCAAAATGTATAGTTCCCAATTACCAGCTTCCAGTTTTGTGGACTTTGCTGATATCCCATGCAGAAACTCCGGCCCTTCTTCCCCCCGTTAGAACCTCTACAGTCTGTCAACCTCCGCGCGGCCCTGTTTAGATGCCTGGGTGAATTGAAGAAAAATGGCGATCTGGGAAGGGAAATTGTGCTCCGCAAAACTATGCTGGATGATTGCAAGGGCGATAAATTCGAGGAGCTGCTCGCTGGCTTCTCCACCGCCGTTCTCCGTAAAGTTGTGGCTGTGTCCGCGGACGAGACGCTTTGGAATCCTGCCATGAAACTTTCGACTGCCACGGCCATGACCCAAACCGACTATCAGAATCTCCTGCCGCTCATTCTTGCCCACCAAGTATCTCTCGGTTCTGCGGGAGAACACCATGTCCGAGTTAGAGAGGCATATGATCGGTTCTCACAACTTCTAGACGATAAAAAGGTCGAACTGACCGAACGTGCCAATCAAGGATCAGGTGGTCACATGAATGATATGCGGAGCGAGCCGGAGAGCTTGGTACGTGAGTTACAAACAAATTGGCTGGGCACCGAGGAATGGGCCACTGCACTGCTCGAAGGCGGCTCACAAAGCAGCACTGATTCTTTTATGGAACTCCCTTTCTCAACGGCATGGATGCGGGCAAAGGAGTCGAATGTGGACAGTTTCAGCAGTGGGTTAAAGCAGGACCTGATCCTTGATTTGGAGGCTCGTGTTCTACTCCAACGAAGTCGACTATGCAAGTGGCATGAATACAACAAGTCCCTCTCAAAGGAAAAAAGAGCCGACGAAATGAGCACACCCTCGCCTAAAGAGCCACGCGTGTTATTCCGAGACCACCAGCCTCTCACAGTTGCTAGTATATCCAAAGCGGTTCGCCAGCCCGGGGATTGTGGGCGGACGTTGAAAGGGCCAGAGAAATATATCCTGTCATCTGTAAATGAGGCCCTACACCGTATCAACGGCAAATCCCGCGCCAAGCCTGCAGTTTTCACGCCGGAGGTGAAAATGAGCAGCAAATTACAATTCAGAAGCTCATCGGAGATTGTCAGCTCGCCATCAACAGCGGCAGATGGCCACCATATCCCAGGTCATCCAGAGCCCAGCTCCAAGCCCAAGACACATCCAGAACCAGAGCATATTCAACCCTCGCACCCAATCGTCCGGCTTTCCCCAGACTGCTGCCCCTCATCGGAGGAGTCAGGCCCAGAACCCATCAAGCGCACCCACACTCTAGTCGAGCGCACGCGAAGGTCAATATCACTCCTCCCACCCGTGGCCCACGAAGCACCACAGCCCCGCCGCAGACCTCGCCCGTCCTTCCCAGTCAACCAGTTCGTGACGCCGCGGAAGACCTCCGCGCACTCAGCTCGTTCAAGGGATGAGGTCTCGCGTGCTTCGACGCCACAGGATCAGCTCTTTGAGGAAGATGCTGAGTACGCAAGTGTGTTTAAGTCGCGGCCGCGTGTGGCGCTTAGTCCTATTTCGTCGCCGGCTGTGCATGTCAGCCCCTGCTCTGAGGACGAGAGCTTTGAATTGGATTATGAGGATGGGGATGAGAGTGAGGGTCGTGAGTGGGGGGATGTTGATTCGCCTTTAGCTGCTCCGCGGTTGAGGAGCTAGGTTGTCAAACTATACATATGTATCTATACATACCCGGGTTTTCCCTGCTGGAAGAGGATTTTCTATCTATGCTACTTATAAGGGGTTTAATTTGCTGGATTTGGGTGAGCTCGTCGGCATGTGAACCGAGCTGTTACCTAGACGAAAGTCAGAATTCACTGTTGCACTAAGGTGCTTAACTTGGAATAATTTGTTGCTTACTCGGGCAGTTTTCCGGATCTCTCTTCGCCCCTTTCATATCTTGATTTGCTCTTTTTCTCCATAAAACTACAAATGGCTGGCTAAATGGTATCGAGAGGGCTTTTAGGTCTACCTTGGTAGGTATGACGAAGTTATTGGTAAAAGTCGATGGCATAAAAAATCTCTCAACTCTCTAAAATGACAAGTGGTCCAAATTCCCCCGAGCTCCTGCTACCAGACCGGTTAGTCCATGGATACTCCCGATTCTTATACCTGTAATCCATTAGATGTATCGAGGTGCCCAAGTTAGCATATGAATTACAAAATCGGGCTCGGACTCACGATCCTCTGTTCAGGACCATGCTCCTCTCTCAGTCATTTCCGGCTTCTTTATAGGAGTAGGTATCAGCTCCCGGGCTTCGAGCAGCTGCCGCACCATCTCAGCGTCCCCCTTTGATGCAGCAGCCTGTAGGGCGTTTCTGTATTCAACACCCTGGGTATTGACATTGGCCCCGGCTCGGATCAGCAAATTCACTGTATCTCTATGGCGGCTTAACGAAGCAGCATGCAGCGCACTTCCGGCTTTTTTCGAGCTTGTTTCGATGGCGAACCCGTTGTTCAAAAGCCATTCGACGAATTTCACATGTCCATGCCATAGTCTACTGTACATTGCTCCACGTGGTCCGTTTCCGGCATAAATCTGCCCTCAAGTCGCCCACATACATGTATTCACATTCAACGTATATGTTAGTATCTCTTTCCGTGGAACTCTCTTCAATCGTTATATAAATCATTAGTTCGCTTGGGAACTACTTAGTCCTTGTCTATATGCATTCTTACTATGTTGTCTTAAAGTCTCCGAGGTTACCCTGAAGTCTTCATAAGGTTTAACCTGGAGCTTGTGTTGAATCTTAATATACTATATATCCTACTAGACGAAGTCTTTGAGACAACTCACATGATAGCAATTGTTGAGCAAGGCTAACAGAAGAAAAAACGCAATGTGGTGTAAGCTTCTAAGTAGGCCCACTCAAATAATAACATTTGAAGTGGGAGATCTATACGAACGCTTTGAATAGAGGTAGCATAGTCAAGGAACACACAAGGTGACTTTCAATACCATCTAGGAACAATTTTCAACAGGTTTTATAAAACTGACATGATCATAAAAAAGGTTCAAACCTGACAATGAATGATGATTCGCATGTGCAACACGGGAAGATCGAGTGGGGATTGAGTATGATGCGATGGCTGTTTCAGTCTCGAAACATGAAACGCAGACGTTAGAGATAAATTGGCGGTCCATTTCGAGGATCTGCAATGTCAAATGTCAGATCCCTGCAAGTACCGCCCCTCCTATGCACTATTTTCACATGTAGATGAACCGAGATTCGAGATTAAAAAAAGGACTTAATCAGGTAGTGCTATTGCATCTAGATCTTAGAGAAAGAAATCTTAACAGCCATAATCAAGATTAAGATCCCAGAAACGCGTATGACAGAGGTCGAGTCTCCAGGAGGCCCTTGCTTGAATCTGGCGATCTTACTCGTTGTAGTGTGTAAATGCTGTAATTGCCCTTGGGCATTGGTCTTGAGATAATTGTCCCCGCCCTTGTGCGCTACTTGGGCCCCAATATTCTCATGTCTGGTTGTTCATATCTTGCGGATGTTGTCCAAGAAAATCGAAGACAAAATCCTTCCTTCCGAAGAAGTTCTTCGGCGTCAATTTCTCCCTCATGGCGCCTCCCTCAGGCACACTCGTTCACACCCTTGGTCATAATACCTTGGGAAAGACAGATATTATTGTTCAGTCGGTCCTTTTGGCTATTGTTTTTGTTTCTGTCGGTCTGCGGTTATGGTCGCGACGATTGCGGTGGATTTCGCTGAAATTGAATGATTTCTTGATTATAGTTGCGACGGTAGGGCTATCTATTTCGTTGTTTCTTCTCAATATGTGGCGCCGTTGGTTCCCCGCGATATCTCGACACGGCTGACTAGAAAAGCTAGTTCTTTATGGTCGGTCGCTATGTGGTGGAAATCCTCATGGTCGTGCTCTGTGGAATGGGGCTGCATTCCACGGAAGTAGGCCAAATCGGAGGGTCCGAGGTTCTTGTCCAATTCAATGAGGTAAGTCACAATGAGTTCATCTAATTGATTGCCGACTTGGGTTTCTTGGGCTGAACCTACCGTCAGCTTACATATGCGGGTGATCTTCTCTGGGTTACAGTGATCGCCTTGATCCAGTTGTCAATTCTTAACGATTATGTGCACAACTTCGGTCAGAGCACTATGACCTTGCTGTCATACGTAATCATGGGCCTATGCTCGGCTCTATGGCTTGCGGGCTTCTTTTCGACTGCGTTTTTCTGTACCCCGCCGAAGAGAATATGGCTTGCCGACACCCCGGGTCATTGTGGTGATCGCAAAATGCTGCATACTGGTGTCAATGCGAGTGAAGCAATTCTCAGCTTCTTTGTTGTCATTCTTCCTATCCCCTTGATATGGGGCATGCCCTTATCGAAGACTAGGAAGACTTCACTGATGTGTATCGAAGCGCTAGGGCTGGCGTGAGTGACCAACCCATTATCGTATGCAAGAAATATATAGTACAGACCTAATGGCTAACCAATACTCCAGCATCATTGCCATTATTGCTATCCGCATGAAAATCAAGTTCGACCTCGACCCAGAAGACCCAACCCACAGCTCTGCCAGGAAGTCGATACTTTCATGCGTCGTGCCTCTTCTGGGAATAATTGTTGCCTGCCTCCCAACCCTAGAGCCAGCCATCCAAAGGATCTTTAACATATCTGCATCTCCATCTTCAGTCCATACGTCTATATATGATCCAACCTTTGCGAGGTATTGGAAGACGACAGTTCTTTCGGGTAGGGGTTTGGAGGAACCAGAAATGCCTCTGGTCACTCTTACGCAGCCTTTCATGACGAAGATGGGTTACCTTGCTCCGGGGAATATTCAGGTCACTTCTCATTGGGAGATTCATTCGTCGCGGGGTTCGGCAAGATTTGATAGATCACCCGTGCGGCAGGCCTGAGGGGGTCTATACCGAAAAATTTGTGGCTTGTTTAGATTGAATTACATAGATTTAGACTTTGGGTCTGGTACCCGAGGTAGATCAAGTTTATTTTGTTAACTACTTCCCTGCAGTACGGTAACAAATGCCCTCACCCGGGTAGTATCGACCACCCAACATACATATACCTTGCGCTTCCAGGTATTCGAGTGTATCTATCTGGGGGCTCCTTTTTATTACTTTCTGTGGGAAGGTCCGAGTGTCGAACGTATTGGATATAAAGTTTTTATGTAAAAAAAATGTGGAGCTAAACTCATACTCGCGAGGAAGTATATATCTGCATGGCGATATTTCTATGCACATGGATAGGCTAGAATATTACTGTGCTTCCTCTCCTCCCTTGAATTCTTTTACGTATACACACCTTGCTTAGGTGAGAAAACTGCGTATCTTTTCTCTTTATTAGTGCACCCAATAAACCTAGGAAGGTGTAAACAAAGAAAAGCCACACGATCAGGTACATACTCTCAATTTGGGGAATTTGATATTTATATAGTCTGGCCTGCGATAAGTTTTATCCCAACTTGTTGTGGTTGGCCAATTGGCCTAGTGGTAAGGCATCCGTTTCCGGTGCGGGAGATCGTAGGTTCGAATCCTGCATTGGTCGTTTTTTCCCCCGCTTTCCTGCGTTTATAGACGTAGGGGATACGATACATTTTTGCATATTTGTTACTACTGGGTTGATTGATTGTGGCTAGCTATCCTTGTGATCGACGACTGCTTTCGTGTCGCGATGAGGTGTGGTGAGTGGATAGTGGAATCACGTGTCGTGAGTTAGGGCTTGCAAGCCATCATCCATTTAGAGGCAGCGAAACAGATGGACAGACATACATACACGAGTGAAAATGGAAACAACTAGGGGCCAGCCGAGTTGGATAAAGAAGAAGATCCTACAATGAGGCCAATACAACGTGTTAGTTACCTGCATATAAGATTTCCCTCATTAGAATGAGCTGCTTCAATAGGTACAACGAATATATCTTATCTAATGGATGATCGAGGGATAAGAAAATGAATGAATAAATGGTATTTTTTCCAAAATGGGGTTGCATGTGTTAACCTCCTCCCTCCCTTGCCAGATTGGCGATGAAGAAAAGGCCAAAAAAAGGATGAAAGTCGCCTCCCGGTTGATACGAAAAGATATATCAGTTACATGTTGCATACGTATGTATAGATAGATAGATAGATAGATAGAGAGAGGTAAGTAAGTAACCATACAGATGGATGCCAGGTGGATACATACATAGATGGAATATCTAAAAGCAAAAAGATAACGACCAATGCAGGATTCGAACCTACGATCTCCCGCACCGGAAACGGATGCCTTACCACTAGGCCAATTGGCCGCCTTGTGTTCTAATTTGTCAGAAAATTAGCAATTATAGGAAATTCCCGCAAGCACCACGATAAATCACTGTAACTGCCTACATATGTAGGTACATATGTAGCTACATGTACAGGAGGTACGTGGAATTGCTGTCTGCGGATACTGTTCGAAAGTTGAGGTGAGAGTTGCATATACACGGGGTTCCGAGTGATCAATACGACTCCCAGTAAACCATAGATGAGATCCCAGAACCCTAAAGTGAAGTATACAGTCTCTCAGGCACAAACACACGACCCCTTAAGGAGGGCGTATTGCCCACAACCAATCAATCCGTAAAGGAACTCACTGGATTAAACATCCAGGGCAAAAACATCAGAAGTGCAAGTGCCGGACCCGTACATTGTCTCCCACGATCGGCTAGGATCATCCCTTGCATAGCAGGGAGGTGAAACAATGATCGGCGGGGAAATTTCTCGAGATCAAGCATTGGTGCATTCCTGTCGAAGGGGAAAAGAATGCAGCCACGCCGTCAGAGCAGGGAAAGAAGCTCCAGGATTCGCCGTGAGGGATGTTGATGTCGCCGCACGGGCAGCTGAGGGCCAGCACGCATCGACGCCCCTTCATATCCCAGTTATGACAGAATGTCACGAAGACGATCAGTTCTGCAAAGATTAAAGAAAGTCTCAAGTCCCTCGACACGACTCGCATTCCCGCAGACGTTCGTTCATACCCCTTCTTGTTTTTAATTTACCACATCCAGCTCCGTCGCTCGCCGGCACTTCCTTTCTTTCAGCTCCATACCTACGACAAAGGCCTGTACGTCAACACGATGGTCAAGACTACCTACGCCCTTACGCTTTTTGCGGCTGTCAGCTTGGCAGCTCCTGTTTCTCAGATCACTGGCCGTGCCGAGAAGCAGGGCTCAGTTGAGCACAAGAACCTCGTCGAGGAGATTCCCATCCTTGGACCTATGCTCGGAGGGGTATGTGTCTATTAGTTTTTTTCAATGAGCTGAAGCCCTAGAAAGGGAAGGGACTAACACCAACCGACCAACAGAAGCAGGATGCGAAGCGCGATGAGTCTCAACCTCAGCACCACAACGTCATCGATGAGCTTCCGATTATTGGAAAGATCCTTGGCAACGTGAGTTTGTCCCTTCGGTTCAAATATTTTGAATATAAGTGTAGGAGTACTAACCGATGCCCCAAAATAGGACAAGCAGAACCAGCGCCGAGATATCTCAAAAGAGGGTATTAGTGGCTTGCCCATCGTTGGAGGCCTGTTTGGCAAGGTATGTCTTTTCAACCAGCAGTCATCTCGAGCGGTTAGATGTTGATGGACCATTAGCATACGCACTCTGGCGGAGAAAATGGCATGAACAAGCGTCAGAGCTTCGGTCAGAACTATGGCCAGAACGCCGGTCAAAATGAGGGTCAGAACGAGGGTCAGAATTATGGCCAGAATGCTGGCCAGAACCAGGGCCAAAACCAGGGCCAGAACCAGGGCCAGAACCAGGATCAAAATGAGGGCCAGAACAACGGCCAAAACGCCAGCCAGAACGGAGGCAAAGACTGGAGGCGTGACCTGGGAAGCAGCCTCAGGGGCATTCCCATAGTCGGAGGCCTCCTTGGAAAGGTATGACGCAGTCTCGGTCTCTGAGGTACCCACTACATCAGAAAAGAATCCTGACATGACACAGGACCAGGATAAACCCTCTCATAAGCAGATCGAAACTCCTGCGAAGCACATCGATACCCGCCAGGCGGGCCATGCTAAGGGTGTCTTCGGTGTCCTGCAGTCTTTGACTAGCGGAAATGTAAGTTTGTTCAGGACATGCTGGTATGTATGCAAGTGCTAATAAGCCAACAGCCCATTCACAAGAGCCACAAACGCGCCGAAGAGGTCGAGCAACTGGAACCGATCGGCCGCGCTCTTGAAGGAGCCGTTGCGTCTGGTATGGAACCTGAGTCTTCTGCCACGCTGGTATGTCATACTGCCAGCCTTGAGGATGCCCTCAAGATAAGAATATCAACTGACTTATTGTGCTAATATTGTGACAGATGCGCCGTGATGAGCCCGCTGCCCCCAAGGCCAACAATGGCCAGCAGGGCAACCCTCCGGGATCCAAGAACCCGGAGGGCAAGAGCTCTGGCGGCCTCCTCGGTGAATTAATGGGCAAGAATGGCCTCGGTGCTATTAAGGGCAACTCCCACCACGGCATTGGCCTCTTCCCAGTATGTGCTACCTACCAAAAAAGAAACAACCCACCAAGCTAACGTTCGTCCAGATGCGCCGCGACGAGAAGCACCTCGAGACACGGCAAGCCCCCATCCAGGGCTCCACCCTTACCGGTGTTCTTCTCGAGGGTGGTGCTTTGGGAAAGGTCACGAAGTTCCTTTCTGGAGGTGCTATGTCTAAGCCCGGTGCCAATTCCCCCTCTAAGATCGGTGATGGTTCTTCTGCGGCTCCTCCCGACCCTGCGTCTGGTGCTGGTCCTCACTCTGGGCCCGGCCTTGCTGCTCAGCAGCAAAAGGGCTCTGGTGCTGCTTCTGAGTAAACTATATCCGGCACAATTGCCTTACGTTTATTTCTTTCAGTCAGACAGGTTGTGATGGGTTTTATGACATCAGTTGGACTAGCCGACATCTGGAGCAAGATTGGGATGCGCAATCGGTTACGCAGTGTTGCTGAGTTGTTATCCACGTATTCTTCTAAATAATGTCAAACGTTTTCAATGTTCCTTGATCCAATGATGAACCGAAGCTTCGGTGTATAAAACATAGGCAATTTTGAAGTTTGGACATAGAAACTAGAAACCCGCAGGAAACCCCTGCTATGTTATGAGACAGGCAGACGAAGCTGCAAGGAGCGCAAGCAAAGAACCAAAACACGGAATTCGTTAATCATAGTCAAATCAAAACCGGCTTTTCCGGTCCGGACCACCCAGTTAAAGAGCGCCCTTGGGGGGTATCAGGTCGTTACACGCGATGGAAATCAAATACAGCCAAACCACTCGAGATGGAACACGATGCTCCGAAAGGCAAATACCAGCCTAATCAGAGTCATACATGTCCACATCATCCACTACCACCGTCGTCCCCAATGCTTCTTTCCCTTCCCGGATCATCGCCTGCAACTGCTTATTCAATCGCTGGAGACTGGCATCTTCTTCTCGTTCCTTGCGGCGCATCTTAGCAGCCTGTCGCTGTATATCAGCGGACGCAGGGAAATCCTTCAATCGAGGGGATGACAGGCCCCCTTGTCCCTTAGTAGGCGAGTGGGGTCTGGCGGAAGAATAAGTGACTCGTTTAGCGAGCCGGGGCATCACTGCGGATTTGCGGCGAGGACTCGACGCCTGGAAAGCGCGTCGTGTGCGGAGTGACGGGCTAGCAAGCTCGCTGCTGCCCACGAACGGATCCGAGCTGTCGGGGACCACAACCCAGCTCCTATCGACCTCGTCATCTGGATATTGGCCGGGTACGGGTGTCGAGCAAAATGTGTTCGGGCTGTACATGTCTTTCTCGGCGGATGGGCTGGCCGAGTGCTGCCAGCTGGATTCGAGGGTTGTTGCGGGGCTGGATGACATATCGTAGCCCTGTCCTCCTCCTGCGTAGAACCCTCGGAATGCGCCAGTCCAGCATAGATCGAGGACTTTGCTCACGGCTCTGATCACGGTCCGGCCCCAGCCTGTGGGTGTTGTGTTGTTGGGGCCATCGGGGCTTGCGGATATGACGCAAGAATCGCGGCGGCTGCGCTTGCGACTGCCGTTGTAGTCTGCTAGAATTGCTGACTCGTCGCTGGAATCGAAGGAGGGCGGGAGGAAGGATTCACGGTAGCGGTTCGGGCGGTAATCTAGCTCGGCAGAAGCGTGGAAATCGTTGCCTCCACTTAAGCTTACTGAGCGGTAGTCGGGGTGGATCATCGGGGACCCGGTGAAATTGGACTCAAAATGTGACGAAAGTTTGTCTGTGTTACGACGTGGTCGCTTGCGACTGACTGAGAGAGAATAGAGCGACGTGGAAGCCGTGGAGGCTGGCACTTGGAATAGCTGAGAGGGCGCATTTGAGAGGTCGAGTTTAGGTGGTGAAGCAGAGTTGAAGACAGCGTGCATGTCGGGCATCTTTAAAGGAAAGAAGAGAGTAAGACCAAAACGAACAAAGATCAAAAATCAAAAATCAAAATCGGAGAAAAAAGAGAAGAGCGAAGGGAAAAAAAAAGCGAGAGGTTGGATATTGGCCGTGTCAGGATTAGTGTTTCCTTACAAGTCACACTATTTAAACCCCCTACATGACATTCTCATATATCCTATACGGTTTCCCATATTGAAATCACAATCGCTGGCTGGTCCATTGTACTCCAGCTGCCTCCAGTCCCTCATCGCCATCAACTAACACACACCATCCCTCGCTGCCCTGTCCTCCATCTCCCGCAATTACCGCCTCAAAGTGACTATGAGCGTATTCCAGCACTTGATCGTCAAAGGTGCCAGGCTGTAACCAAACCGCAGGTATTCCCACCGAATGTGCTTCCTGCAGCACCTGGAGGGTCACAGCCGGGGGAGTCACCACTGAGAGGGAAGTCTGCGCTGGCGATGGCAAACCGGACGGTGAGGGAACTGTATCGTAAGCACGCGAGGGGAGGGTGATCTGCGCTGCTCGGGGATTGAGCGGAGTCACTGGCAGGGAGTGTTGATGATACCAAGCGAGGACTAATGATTTAGTTCTCTATACAAATGCCAACAGAGTGTGTTCCCTTACTCTTGTATCCAAATTTATGAGTGTCATTGCTGGCCCCCGCCACCGCAAAGCGGGGGGAAGAGAAGAATCGCTTGACTGCTGCCATTGTAATTTCAATGATTTGATGGAATAAATTGATTTATCTTTTCAAAGAATTAAATAGTCTTGTAAGGTTCGTAATAGCAACAGTTGGAAAGTTACGAAGTCGCAAAGAAAATAAAATAAAGCGCAACCTCGGCCGCGGCCGATGACGACACTCCCTTCATCGCCATCTCCGACATTCGGCGACCCAACTTCCTTATTATTTCACATCCTCACATTCAGTCGCATGCCACCCTTCCTCCCCCGAAAGCGCGTATCCTCCGAGGACCCGCCCCCGGGGAAGCGCCAGGCCCGGCCCGATAATCCTCAAGCTCCTCAAGCTCCCTTCCATCTCTCCGACTCCGACTCCGATTCTAACTCGTTGAGCGACGCGCCTGAAGGTCTCCTCAACAAGGGCGATGAATCTCATGTGTCTGAGGAATCTGAAGATGAAGAAGAAGATATTGACTGGGAGGATGCGATAGACACAAGGACCAGCGCCATTACACCTACCGTCGCGTCTCCAGAGCTACAGGACCTAGAATTGACCCTAGATCAAAATGAGACACATGTGTCTGATCTTCTGGATGGTAAAAAGGGGCCTAGTAAGATCGAACGCCAAATCCGGATCCAGACACACTGTATGCATGTCCAATGCTTGCTTTTCCACAACGCTATCCGCAATGCCTGGAGCAATGATTCCAAAGTCCATGAGATCCTGCGCAAAAAGCTGCCGGAAGGGATCCACAAGGAAGTCAAGAAATGGCGCATAGCGTCAGGGTTAGAACTCCCAGAGCCGAAACCTGAACCGCCCAAGAGTAAGAAGAAGGGCAAAAAGGCCCAGAAGAATAAAGACTGGAGTGATGGGTCAGAACGACTGGAACCAGGCCAGCCGGACATGAGCCGTGGCGATCCAATCATTACGTTGATTAAAGTGCTGGTCGCATACTGGAGGAAGCAGTTTCGCATCACGGCGCCAGGACTGCGGAAGAATGGATACCGACCAGTATCTGCTCTTGAAACCGCTATCACCGAGTTTCGTGAAGAAGAGCATGATCCAGAGCGCCATGGTGAACGTATCGCCAATCTCGACGGGTTCCGCGCGATCGCCGAGAGTATGCAGGGATCACGGGACGCCGGCGCGCAGCTCTTCACGGCTCTCGCCCGCGCTTTAGGCATTGAGGCCAGACTCGTGGGTAGTTTGCAGCCGCTGGGCTTTGGTTGGACCAAGGGAGAGGCCTACACACCTGTCGCACCTTCCAAGGCAGATAAGGAACCCGAGAACAAAGGGGAGTCGGAAGGATCAGAGCCTGATACTGACGCAGCTGAAAATAAAGTACCAGCGAAGGGACGCAAACAATTTGACAAGGACCTGCCATTTCCTATCTACTGGACCGAAGTCGCCTCACCCGTCACGAATGAGATTATATCCGTCGACCCGCTTGTACTTTCCAACCCCGTCGCGCCATTTGCAGATACAGATCTACAAGCAAACTTCGAGCCTCGTGGTGCAAAGGCAGACCGGGCCAAACAAGTTATATGCTATGTTGTCGCCCACTCGTCAGATGGTACTGCTAAAGAGGTCACAACAAGATACCTTCGACGGCGGACCTGGCCCGGCAAAACTAAGGGCTTCCGAATACCCTTGGAAAGAGTACCTGTAGGACCACGCGGGCACTACATCGCCTTCGACTGGTTCGGGATGGTAATGCGCGGGTACCAGCGAGCCCGCAAGAGCAAAACAGCAGTCGACAAACTCGAAGAAACCCGAGATCTACAACCTAACCAACCCGAGAAAAAGAAAACAACGCAGACAGTCGACACCCTCCAAAGTCTCCGAACCTCGACCGAATTTGTGCTTGAGCGCTTCCTCCGCCGCGAAGAAGCCCTCCGCCCCGGCGCCGAATCCGTCCGAACGTTCATTGCCGGAAAAGGCGCCCGGGCCAAAGAAGAACCCGTCTTCCGACGAGCAGACGTGTTAAAATGCCTCTCCGCCGAAAGCTGGCACAAAGAAGGCCGCCAGCCGAAACCAGGCGCGGTAGCCCTCAAGCGCGTGCCCATTCGCGCCGTCACACTCATACGCAAACGCGAAGTCGATGAACTGCACCGTCAGACCGGTGAGAAGCCACTGCAGGGTCTGTACGCCCGCGATCAGACGGAATACATTATCCCGCCGCCTATTCAGGATGGTCGCATCCCCAAGAACGAATATGGTAATATCGACTGTTTCGTGCCCAGTATGGTCCCCGCGGGCGCGGCGCATGTCCCCTTACCTGGTACCGTGCGGGTGTGTAAGAAGCTCGGCATTGACTATGCGGAGGCAGTCACGGGGTTCGAGTTTGGGTCGAAGATGGCTGTGCCGGTTATTCAGGGTGTTGTTGTTGCCGCTGAGAATGAGGTTCTACTTAGGGATGCTTGGAAGGTTGAAGCCGCGGAGAAGAGGAAGAAGGAAGAGCTCAAAGCCGAGAAAAAGATTTTGCAGACGTGGAGGAAGTTTTTATTTGGGTTACGGATTATGGAGCGGGTGAGAGATGAGTATGGGGGTGGGGATCCAGATGCTGATCGGGAGCGCGATTCGCATAATCCCTTTGCCGCGCAGAAGAAAAAGCAGGAGGAGGAATCGGATGGTAATGGCGATGACGAAGAAATGCCTGATCGGGAGTCGTCATATAACGCGATCGATCATGGTGGCGGATTTCTTCTTCCTGGTCATGAAGATGACGCAGACGATGGCTTGATTGTCGAGCACCATGATCAGCAGCGGGGTCATGCAGGTCCGCCTTATGGTGACCCCAATGACAACGAGCCATTCGAATCTGGATCCCCTGCTGCAGACTCCTCGCCTGTGTCTATCTCGTCGGGTTCAGACAACGAGGTGGATATTGGCGAGGGCGAAGACGCAGAACCCGAATACGTACCTCGCCCTACACGACGAACGCGAGGTCGTTAATGGACTAAATGTGCACACCGTCCATATTGCTAGGGCTGGAAGAGGACTGTGTATTTTAGTATGTAGTACTACGTAACTATCAAAGAATAACACTGGCAGCAATCACTTGTCTCTTGCACCCAGTAGACTTGTTAGCAAACTCATGACAGAAACCACGTAGGTATGCCGAGGTTATATATTGTGCTAATCAAAAAAATAAATAAATAAACCATCAACAGTTCCTGTTCGGATATAGTAATCCCACATAGATTGGCCAAGATGTTCTCCCTTCCACTTCTTTGGCTGAGATCACATCTAACATCTGCGTAGACGTGGAGCTATCAAAATCCTGCATATAATCACCACTCATATCCATTTGGAGGAAGCACACGTAGTGCTGTGTAGCATGAATGACTATAACGCTGCCGAGGTTGTCAGTTTGTAGTTCAAATGGAACATGTCCATAGCGAAGATGTTTGAGTCTCCAAGGCCTAGAAAATCCGGCGCTAACTGATCTCTGCTGCATATCACTAGTTCCATTGCATAATCTGATCGCTAGCACTTCGCAAACCATCTGTGTAAGGCTCCTATCGGAGAGAATAGGCAGCCCAATTTGAAAACTCTGAAGTTGCGTCTTCACTTCCAATATTGCTACCATCGCCCCTTGTCAACCCTAGCGATGGCGACTGATTATGGGCCAAAGTCTTTTCGTGATCTCGTGCGTAACCATAACTGGCTCTTTGTTAGCCCTCCATAGTGGACTTCACGCCATTGATCTGGTGGGGTGTCGATTTGGTGATGTACCAACCACCTCTGTCTACACAACATCAAGTCGAAATGATAGGAACAATGATGATCAAAAATCCACTCTTGCCTCTACAGATTTGACTCCGAATGAAAGGAAGAAGGAACAAAACAAGAGCCTTACGCAAAGCCACTCGCACGGAGCGATGCTGAGGTCTTCGCTACAGATTGGTTTCCTGAATCAAAGCGTCGTCGTCTCACCAACATTTTGGTACGCGAGGATAGCCCATTTGCTCGTACTGGGTGAGAGCTATAGTCTGATAGTACGGCTGCTATATCTATAGGGGTAACTGACAACTCCACCGAGTAGCAAAGGAACTTCATTCCTTTTCAATGGTCGGTCCGTTCACCGACCAGAATATACTGAGTTTCATCGCCATAAAGAATCCATCGATCATATCAACAACCCTTCGCCCTCGTTATTAGGCTAGGTGCACTACACAATGGTCAATGGAGTTCGCGATAGGCTGTCTCATCCTTGCCCAGGGCCAAGGGGAGCTAGGAACAAGCTTGGTTGGAGCATTTATCGGAAGCGACTAGCTCAGACAACTCTAGAGGAATGGAGCGAAGATCCATATTTCGTGTGTCACTTATTCGCCCTCGCGCAGCTTCAAGAGCGCAACCTAAGTCATCAAAACCAATCACTTACACCGTATGTTCTGTCTTCTCATATTTTCATCGGTCTGTCGCGCTTTAGCTGATTCGCTCTTAGTCGCGTCTTCTCGTGACCAACTTATTAGAAGGAGAATACATCCTATTTTATGAAGCCAAAATCACCACAGAGCTTTTGAGTCGGTTCAGAAATCCGATGGACGCAATCCCCATCCAATAGCCTACAATTCGGCGGAAAAAAAATCCATATAAGCCCTATGATATATTTGCTAGCCGACTCAAGACAGAGCTTGGGGAACCAGCCCTTTGCCTTCCTACAGCCTTTCGAGTACACCTGATGGTATGGATGGTGTCGATGAGCACAGTGGGAAACGGGCATACAAACCAGAAGATAGCGGGCCATCCAAGATGATGAGGACTTGAAACAAAGTGTATAAGGAGACCTGGGCGTCGGAAATTTATTGGCATGTTGCGGACTTTCTTTGATGGTTGATATTTAAGGGGCGTTCGGGGGCATTTTATCAATATTTTGCATGTTCTGAGGATGAGTGACGACTATGTAGTATTGCTAGACAATTGCCCATGTTCTTGGCGTGTTTATGGCGGATAGGAATTTCTGAGTAAAATTCGTAACCCTTATAACAAAACTATGTATATGACTACACTCAGTATGAAGAGCGAGGTAGAACCCATCAGAAAAACACCGTCAACCATTTGCACCAGCAAAGATAAAAGGCCAGTTGAGGACATGGAGTTAAACATCCGTGTGATCAACCCATTTCCTCCAGTTGCGAGGCAAGCATACCCGTCTCATTTAGAGAGGCGTGGCCGAGGCAGTTGGGGCAACACCGCTTGGGGCGCCGCCTGGGGGTGAACCACCACCACCAGGAGCACCGGAATTCTCATTCTCAGCACCACCCTCCTCAGTGTAATAAGCTGCAGGGGTAACAGTGGTGTCCTGGGTAGGGTCCATACCAACCGTGATCCAAGCGAAGATTCCATCGGAGATATCATCGCCTAGATAGACGTATTCCATGAATGGGTCAATGGTGTCTAGCTCTTCAGCCAGAATGCTGTCGTCGGCATTGGCCGTCACTTCTTGCGTGTTGGTTGAGTACGGGGCGACCTCATCAACGGCGGAAATGAGATCCTGGTCGAAGAAAATCTGTCCAACGTGCGATGAGTGCGAGGTATACAGACCGGAGATGGTTCCGTTTGCAAGAACCTTGGTTTCGTTGGCTGGGTGGGTGAGGACTATTGATGGAATTAGTCAGTATTGGAATCGATTTAAACTAGCAGCATGTGGACAAGGCTACCAGTGCAAGCAAAAGAAACAGTAGGAAAAGAAGAAAATAACCAGGATCGTCGTATCTGGGTATCTTACCGTGAATGTGAGTTGCCCGGCCAGTGTAATGGCCTGGGAAGTTTGATTGGAACTGAATGACACCATCCTTGTTGCTCTTCTGGACACCTCGGTTGAAGGTCGTGTTGAGGTTATTCTCATCGCCAGAGTTGCCGTTTCCACTAGCAACGACTCCAGAATAGACACCCTATGATGATCGATGTGAGTGGAACGCTTCGTACATAATACAGTGGAAGGAGAATATACTTACAGTGGAGTTGCAGTGCCACAAATCCATGTAGATCTCCGGAATGGGTTCGCAGGTGTTAGTGTCGATCAGCTGTATGTCCATGTAGAGAGGAATACCCTCCTGGGACTCCGCGATGTTCTCACGAACCAGCTCACCCGTGACATCTAAGACGCGTTAGTAAACTTTAATCATTAAATGACAGCAATGGGAAGCTAACAGTAAGGTCCCTGGGTGACCTCAGGTCCGAGGATGCAGGTCGCATCGGTGCCAAACAACACATCAGGGTCGGTAGAAGAATCCACCCCCGTGAGATTGGAGTGATGCGAGGTATCCAGGGCGCTCTCGGAGCGCGCCTTGAGTAAGTGGCTCGCTATGGCGTTGTTAGAGTATGATAGGATTTAGAATTGACTTCAAATGCATACTAGGCTGAAGACCAAGGCGGCGACGTATGTTCTTCACGGCCATGTGGCGACGGGCCACATTTCGGCTTTGCTGGCCTCGACGCTGAAGGCGAGAGGCACATTGTGCGAGGCTGCGCGAGTGAACAGGGGCACTTTTCAAGAATGCAGCTCGCTCGGCAGCTTCGGCTTTAACATCATGCCCCGGGTGAGCGGACACAATGCCAGTCAGAGCAGTCAGGCCGATGGCAACAGCAGTTGCAAGATGAACCATGATTGAGGTACTGAGGCAGTCAGAATATGAATGTGGATGAGGAAGTTGAGGATACCGCAGCTGGGCGTCTTGGGGTGTTTTATACCTTGCTGTTGCCTTCCTGGATAATACCAAGCCGGAGCATCGCTAGGCTCAGGATAGACCAGATTGAGATAAAAGGACATTTTAATGAAGCTGACGACAGATATGGAGTAGGTCTGAGCCTGCATTGACAAATGAAACGCGGAACGTTTCTCAGCGAGGAAGGCTTCGTGGTAACGGCAGGCCCCCTCAACGGAGCTCAACCATCTATGAATAAAATTGCGACATCATAGGGTGAAGGGCTGCAATTGCTTGCCGTTGATAGGACATCGGGAGATTGTGAAAGAGCCAGAGGTCTAGTTCTGCAGCAACTCTAACCAACTCTGTTGAATCCACCGTCGATCATGCTGGCGCAATTGCCCTGCCTAGCCATTGGGGGTTTCGCAATTTTCCATGCGGGGATTTAAGGACGCGGTCCAAGTATGATCTTCATAGAACAGGTCCTTCTTTGCATGGCACTAGGAGTCTTCGTCGTAACGTGCGTAGTGTGTATACGTATTCGGTCTTGGCGGTCCCGCTCCGAGGTCCCCTGCGAGAACAGTCAGCGGAGAAAGGAGCCCCGATAGCTTTGGCTGGATATCTCTGTGAACGACCAACAATGAACATGTCGAACTCCGAGACTTGAGGTCAGAAAAACTCGGATTTTGATCAATGCAGGACGCACGTGTGAAAAACTTTGCCTTATCAGGAGTGCATTTTCCCGTTCAATCTGTCTCCTTGAACAATATGATGTTCGGGACTTTCCTGGATCGCCAAGGCGTTGACATAAGAACTGGCAAGGCTTGGCAATTGCTTGCTATCCGAAGATCTTCTGATGTCGAGGGTTAGTGGATGTTGGTGAATGAGGCTCTCAACCTTGTGATTGTGAGAGAGTACGAAGCAACGTCTCATCAGTCACATCTGCGGGGTCGTTTTGCGTGGCAGAGGCTAAGGACCTGACGTCTGTGGAAATTTTTGGTATCAAACAACGAGATAGTTGAATGGTTGTCTACAAGAAGAGGGAAATTGTATCAAAAGCCATCAGAATTAAATTGATTATGTTACATGCATATTCGTGGATATCGGGGGCAAAATGTCGCATGAAACCGTCAACGCATGATAGAGGCAATAATTGAAGTAAGACCCGCCGAGAGTGGGCCAGAACTACGTAAAGGCAAGAACGAGAGAACCGCCATGACAGAAACAGTCTGATGGATTAGACCTCCTGCTGGGTCACGCTGGGTGCATGATCAGTCTTCTCGTCCATTCCAATCTCGGCAGCAAAAGTGCTGTGAGGCTGCCACTTGGAGGAAGTGCGAGGAGTAGTCTCTTCCATCATCTTGTCAACCTGCTCAAGGGTCAGGCCCTTGGTCTCAGGAATGAGGAAGTAGGTGTAGACAAAGGCACAGGTACACAGCGAACCCCAGATGAAGAACACCTTAGGGCCAAGGTGACCCTTGTCAGCATCGGTCATGTAAGGAGTGATGACTGCAATGATGCAGTTCCAGAGCCAGTTGGAGGCGGTGGAGAGGGCAACACCGCGGGACCGGATGGGTAGAGGGAAGATTTCACCGATGACGACCCAAGCACCGGGGCCCCAGGTGCTAGCGAAGAAAAAGATGTAGATGCAAATGAAAGCGATCATTGTACTGATAGCCTTCTTGTTCTCCCCATCGGTGGTGACACCAACAATGGCGACAATGAACTGGCACACAACCATACCCAGGGCACCCCAAAGGAGCAAAGGGCGACGTCCGAATTTCTCAATGGCGTAGAAGGATACGGGGGTAGAGAAGACATTGACGATTGTAGTGATCATGCTGATCAGGAAAGGATCATCAATTGTCTTGAGATCCTGGAAGAAAGTGGTTCCGTAGTAGAAAATGAAGTTGACACCGGTCCATCTATAGCTTGTTAGTTTCTATTCGATAGCAGGAGGAGAGTGAGACATACTGTTGCATCATCTGCAGCGAGGTACCCAGGATAGTACGGCGAAGGTTGCTGTTAGGGTGCCAGAGGCTTCCGGTGAAGCAGCTGAACCAGGTGGTCCAGTATCCACCCTGGGGGATTGCCATCATCTCGTACTGATTGTTGGCGTCGATCTCATTCAGTTCCAGCTCGACAAATTCTGAATTCTCAGGCTGGCCACGGATACGGGCCAGCACAGTGCGGGCCTTATCCTTTTGGCCCTTGCGGATGAAGAATCGAGGCGACTCTGGCAGCATGAACAATCCAAAGGCCAAAATGAGAGCCCAGAGCATCTGTAGGGCAATGGGGATCCGGTACGACCCACTGTCTGTACGGTTCTGGGTGCCATAGTTCACGCACGAGGCCAGCATCAAACCAATGGTGATGCAGAACTGGTAACCCGAGACGATGGCACCACGGACCTTGCGGGGTGCAATCTCAGACATGTAGAGAATGATGATAGCGGAGACAAATCCGATACCGAAACCGGAAATGAGACGACCGGCAACAAGAAGTCCAAGGCTGGTAGAAGCGGTCTGCAAAACGACACCGACGATGAAAATGGAGCAGCCAGAGATGATAGTAATCCGACGACCAAACCAATCAGCCAGATCACCAGCGATGAGGGCACCAAAGAAGGTTCCAGCGGAGAGAATGGACACGATGAGCGACTTTCGAGAGGAAGGAATAGTGGTGGCATCCTAGGTGCGGTTAGTGAGATTCTGGAAACTGTGGGGAGAGGTTGACACTCACAACACCGAAGAACTCCTGGATGAAGTACTCCATTCCGAGAACACCGTTGATGTAACCAGAGTCATAACCGAAGAAGATGCCACCAAAGGCAGCAAAAGCGCACATAAGGTAGGCCTTGAATGTGACCGGGGCCTCGACGCGCATGGCATCGACCGGCCCAGAGACGACTGCTCCACCGGGCATGGTAGCGAGTCAACGAGAGTATGTGTTTAATAATAAGTCCAGAAAGAGATGAAGTGAGACGTCTCAAAGTAAGATAATGTGAGGCGAGAGATGGGGAAGGAAGAAGAGGAAAAGAAGGGACTGGGGAGGAAGAGAGATTTATATCGTGGGGAGGGGGCACTTGAGCTTCCCCAGGCCTGCCCCATGCCCGGCAAAAAAAGGAAGAAAAAAAAGCAAACTACTGGGAAAATTGTAATCTAATCTAATCCATATTTGGCCTGGTTACAAGAAAAATTCTAGAAATCGGCTGGAATGACTGTGTAGCCAAGTCGGCTCTGGAAAGTTGACCACGCGATACTCCGTAGAAACGGCAAGTATAGAAAACCGGGGAAATGCTGCACGGCCTAAGCCGTATAACCATAAGATTAGAGGATCTGATTGGCTATAACCCCCAGAAATGATCCGCCTATCCCTGTCTCATCGGCTATGAGAGGGTCAAAGTGACCAAACCCACCAAAACCACCTCAGGAACAACCAAAACCAAACAGAGCCTCGGGCCTAGAAACCGGAGATGTCCACTTTGGGTTAGATAGCCGGGGAAACCAACTCTAATTGGTTGGCTGCCATGGGACTGTGCGCCACGTGAAAGGACGATTTGGTTTTTCTGTCCAACAGTATCTTTCTCCAGGTTATTTTTACTCTAATAGTGGACCTACCAGGTACGATCCAGCTTACTCGGCAATTTAAAAACAACAGGCTCAGTGAGTCTGGTGATTCGAAGGGACTGTGGTTCACAGCTGAACACTTTCAGGCTAAAACTTACCCCGTACTGCATTCACATCAATGTCACATTGAGGGCAAGCCGTCCAAAGCACAGACCTTGGGGACGCCACAAAATCACACTCTCCCTTTACTTTTAAGGAAAAAGTTCTTGGCGTGAGGCAAGCTGACTACTAGTATTGGCAGGATACACAGTAAGAATAATCATGGTAAATTAGTTTCAGAACTGCTTAGGTTTATTGCTTATGTTCCTAGCCGTGCGTCGTCAAAAAAAAACCGAAATAAAATCGAAATGATCAACATTGTCAAAGTGGCTCGCAGCTCGGGCATTGCCGAGCCAGCTAGTGGGTCTATCAGAACACAAGATTTCCGAGGGCAGAGATGGGCTTTTGAGGCGTTTCTCCCACGGGGAAACTAGCCAGTTACACAACGGCGACAAGACCTCTCTGAGCTTTTCATCTCCGCATTCTGTCTTGGCTATCACGTGAAGTAGAGTTTTCGCTGTCTATCCCGTGCCAAATATCGCCATGAGCGGACTATTATCGGCAGGATTTCGCGCTTGTCCCTTAGCTGCCTGACACTGTCTTGAAGGCGCGCTTGAGCGTGGCATGCTATTCGATGTTGCAAATTGTGACTCTACTAAATTTCCGAACCCTCCCTGTTCCCTACACAACTCTGGGACGGCCAAATATAGCAAATACTACCACGTGCCCCCTCCACGGGTCCGCGCTCGGCTTACGGAGTACAGAAGAACCGATGGGAAACTTACCATGTGTTCTATGTTCTCGGTTAGAAGTTCTCGGTTGAATGGTGGCATAAGTGACCCACATTGGCCATACGACGGGGACCGAAGTTGGGGAGTTGAGGACCTGGGATTTCCCCCGACCGAGAAAAAGAGAAAATAGAGCGAGCCGAGAAAATCATCTCCGATGCCGGTAGACAGTCTCCGTTAGAATGGGAATTCTTGGTCCTTTTTGAGGGGAAAGTATCTATCGATATACGGGGTCGGACTTGGTTGTTTCCAAGTGAGATGTATGCACTCCATGCTCATTAGGCCTCAAGAACATGGAAAAGTCCCCGGATCCCCGGCTTAGTTCATTTTTTTTCCTGGGGATACTACCCCGGGACTGGTCTGAACGCTGAATCTGGTCACCGGTGTAGACTTATACTATTCCTGTCATGATCAGTATCCTCTTTTGGATTTTTGTACATAGCCTCGACTCTGATTGGCATTCTTTTTCTCTTAAATCTGACGCACTCATTTTGACAACTAGGATTGGATTTGATTGTCCGACGTATAGGGTTCTCGAGTCCAGGACCCGAATGTCCGCACCTGCATCAAAACTTGCCTCCTGCCTACAGCAGTGGGTATGTACTAGGTAGAGTTTTCATTTCATTGAACTAGCAAAACAAAACTTTAAATCAAAACAGTATCAAAACATTGTGTACGGACATGATTCCAAAACTACTTGTCATGCCGAGACTGAATGTCAAGTCCGACTAAACCGCCCGTCCGTCGCCAATTCTCAATCTCTTTCACATAACTCTTAATCCCCTCTCCCCAGATACTGAAATGTGCCGCTCGAAAACCTTCAAGGTCGCTGAATTGGAGCCCCTCCCGATTGAAGTATCCCGGAGTGCAATTCAGAACACCTCCCAGTGCTCGCGCTCTCATCAAAACCTTGGAAGTCCATTCTCCTTCCGAGCGAGCACTAGGCTCAATAGTGAACCCGGCAACGGTGACACCTGGGTTCCGCTCCGAGGTCAAGCTGCCGGCTTCCGAAATGATGTGAGCGACATGAATGGCAAGCTGATCAAGAACATAGACCTGGTTTGCTGACGCTCCTGTTTGATAGGGACCCGGAAAGAACAGGTTAGGAAACCCATTAGTCATTACTCCATGGAGTGAAGTCAGCCCCTTCTGCCATTTTTCCTGGAGGGGCCGGTTGTCACGTCCGGTGACAGTCAGATCCCCACGATCAGCACTACCTCCAAGACTGTAGCCGGTCCCAAAGATGATGGCGTCCAGATCATACTCTTGCCCCTCTGCCAAGATTCCCCGATCTGTCACAGTCCGGATCCCTTTTCCATTGGTGTCAACCAGGGAGACATTAGGCCGGTTGAATACCGTGAGAAAGTCGTCACTGAAGCACGGCCGTTTGCACCACCCAGGATACCACGGCTTCAAAACTCGAGCAGTCGCTTGATCGGTCACAGTGGTTTCCACGCGACGGCGGATAGCCTCTTGGCGATGTAAGTCCAATTGATGCATCCGCGTCAGATGGTCCGGGTCAAGACCGGAGGGACTCCCGATCAGTACACTGAAAGACTGCATCTTGGTCCAGCCATCATCGACAAGGTCTACATCCGGGAGGGGATCCTCATTCGAAGAGAATGCGTTAAAATTCTCCATGCGCTCTTTTTGCCACCCAGAGCCTGCTTCTTGGACCATTTTCACCCACCAGGTGCGATCTGTGAGATGATTGTGACGCCAATCTACAGCAGACGGCGTGCGCTGAAACACAATCACTTTCTTTGCCCACTGGGCAAGGTGTGGGATTGCTTGTATGGCGGATGCACCTGTTCCGACAAATCCAATTGTTTTGTCTTGTAGTCTATGCATGATTGGGCTGCTTGGACTTCCTCCAGTGTACTCATAGTCCCAGCGCGAGGTGTGGAAAACCTTCCCGTTGTAGGTCTCAAGGCCGCCCAATTTTGGTATTTTCGGGGAATTCAGCAAACCGGTAGCCAAGATGACAAAATCAGATTGTATTGCAGTGGGTGACTGGCCATGTGGTGTGACATGGACTGTCCATTGACGATCCTGGTCATTCCAAGCCGACTTATTGACCACGGTTTGGAATAAAGCCCGTTCACCGAGATTCCATTGACCCGCGATACGATTCGCGTGTTCTCTCAATTCCGGCCCGTTGACATACTTCTGCGACGGCATGTACTTTGTTTCCTCTAACAAGGGCATGTAAGTGTAACTTTCGACATCGCAGGCCAAGCCAGGATATTTGTTCCACCACCAAGTTCCTCCGAAGCCACCTGCTGCATCCACGAAGAGGATCTCAGTCGCACGAAGAAATCCCGTCTGGAGCAGCCGCACTGCAAACAGCAGTCCTCCAAACCCAGCACCGACAATGAGGACTCGGACCTTCTTCTCCTGGAGCAGGTTGTTGTCCATCGCGATGTTTCCGTTCGAATGGAAAGTTTTCGTGGATTGATCGGCCAATCCCACATATTGGGCCGGTCCGTCAGGGAGCAGACGTTTCTTGCGTTCCACGTCATACTGCTCTTGTATCTTCTGCAGATGGTGTTCACTCGTTTTGGCTATATTGGCTATATTGGTGGCAGGTTGGTCGAGAGCAGGGGCCTCTGGGCCAGCAATGGAGTTCTCCGTCATGGTGATAAAGTGGCGGAGAAAGACTCTCTGCATGTAAATGAGCAAGACGAATAGGGGCTTATAAATGCCATCGTTAGTTGTTTGGCAGCTGTTCAATGGGCCGCAAGGCGTTTAGCGATCGTTTGTGTTCTATATGTTATACCCTAGCAATTTAGCACAAACTGAGAACAAACCGAGAGTAAACGGCAAAACAGAGCAAACGGAGAAAAAGAAATGGTGTTATCCAAAGAGGATGAAGTATATGTGAGTAGATTCCGAAAGCAAGGGACCAGAAGCCGATACTAACAACTAAAACCCGTGCATATTAGAATGAGACCCGCCAGCTTCGGATTCACCGTGATAGGTACGGATTTGGGTGTAGGGTTAGTTGTAATAGGCCACAGGGGGGTCCAATGGGATCCGTTGGGGCTTGGCTTGTCTATTTTCAAGCTTGGCATTTCCCACTCAGACCACACGCGGGGAAATTAGTCGAGAAGACGAATTGAACCCCAGAATAGGTAAAAGAGGAGACCGTTTATGTCAAGATCTCTTTTGGATCCGATTGGACCTGTTCGAGCCCCGTCTCAGCCCAGCGTCGGCTCTAGCCTTATGGCGTCCTTGTGTACATAAAAAGTATAAGTGTATAAGTAGTTCTTCTTCCAGGCGCACTATGTTGAGGAGGAAAATAAATTGTTTGTTGCTCAAAATAAACCTGCTAGTATGAGTGTCTCATCCCGTGCGCTGCTAGCTCTAGTAGCCCTTTCTTCCATGTCGCTCGCTAAGGAAGTCGGTTATTTCGACTCATCCTCCTGCGCCGATCCCAAGGGCTTCGCAAGCTGCTACGAGAATGTAGACACCACGTACGCGAACTGCGTAAACAACAATTGCGCCGGGGGAGGCGAATTATGCTACAGCTCATGCGGTGGAAGCACATCCTGCATGAACGAGCAATGTCCTGGCTTGGGAATCGACTGCACCAAAGCTTGTGAATGCGAAAGGTCCGCTCTTCAGATCGATTGCGCAGGGCAGAGTTGTTGGAACCGGGTAAGAGTCCTTTCACAATTCATATAGCTTTTATCTGAACACCCATCTTAGGTCTACTCTTGCGAGTACCAAGCTACAGTCCTGGACTACCTCAGCTTCTGTAGTAGCCCCGACCGGGATGGATTACCGTACTGGCCGACGCCAGATGATGCCCCCGATTCCTGTTCCTGCAACACCGGTCAAATTGAACAAAAAGAATACTTGATTGTCAATCAGATGGATGTGTGCTCAAACAACCAGACAAATATCGGTCGAATAATGACTGACGTTGACGCGATAACTGAGTACGGTCAGGCATGTGTCTGCTGTGCATTCAGTGCTATTATCTCCGCGTATGATTCAACCCTAGAGCTCAAATCACCTTTCTCTTTCACCCTTCTGTTGCTAATGATATTATTAAGTATCTGGGGCACGTGCCCTGACACTCAGCCCTCCCTACTGGCCGCAGATGAATGGTTTGCCGGCCTTCTCAATCCCGGCCACTGGGAAGACTGTGGACCCTTCCTCGAGAAGTATGATTGTGGCGGCGATCTGGGATTTGGTCGTATTGACGCTGGTGGGATCACCAAATTCTACACTCCCGGCAGCCTGCCAACCAATGGCACGAAATCCTTGTATAATGTGGACGGCGTCATCTCTAACCCCGTCAGTGGCGATGTTTTGACATGGACCTTTAGGTCAACGTTGGTGCACGCTGTCACTGTACCTTCGGCAGACGCTACTGTCACCGGTACAAAAGCCACCGGAGGCAGTGATGTTACTGCAGCGACTGCTGCAGCGAGTACTGCGACTGGCAAGGCAGAGAGTGACGTAAAGCCTGGGATGGGGTCTTCTTTGATAGTTCCCTCCTGGACTATCGCTGGCATTGTTGGTATCTTGGTTCTATTGACTTTGTGAGGATCAACAGTATTGTATCTATATACATGTACAAAGGCCCTGAAGATATACTTCGTATGGCGCGTTAAACAACCCGATCTTTATTTGGCTCTTGTAGTCTTTGTCCTTCCATCCTCAAGATCCACTCCTCTCTGCTCTAAGTACCTATGCAGGTAACAGATAATTGACAATCTACTGGATAGCAATGTCGGAACAGGAAAGATAGATCTGACCAGTTTGGAAAGAATTCCACTTCCAGGAGAGCAAAGTGTGGTTTGAGACGTAGTCCGGAATCTTGATCTGCTTCGAGACAGTGTAACCGCCGGCGATTGTTGTCTCGCAGGAGCCAAGCTCAGACTTGTCGACGCCTTGGCACTTGGTATCACCAAAGCCGTTGCAAGTGAACCAGTCATTGCGGTGGCAAGCTTCGCCGTCACCACAGTCGGCACTGTAGTCGCAGGTCTGCCCATCGACACCGGTGCAATCAAGAAGACCTTTGTTGAAGCAGTCCTCGGCCGCCTGCTTCTCCTCGTCGGTTGGCAGGTAATCCGGGTCTAGGAATTTGTCCACAAGAGCTTGATCTTGGCAGATACGGTAGGTGAACATGCCACCGTGATCACCGTTGTGGTCGACACACCAAACGACGTCAATGACATCGCCAGCTTTGTAAGTCTTAACCACTTCTTTGCCCCAGTCGCTGCCGGGTTGGTTATAGTCGACGCTCACACGGGCGTTGTATCCGCAGGGTCCGCTGCGGCCAACCGGGGCTACGTCGAGATCAGGCCAAGAGGAAACGGGTTCGAGGATGGTGCACTCAGGACATGTGTCAATTCCAGCCTAAGTAGTGTCAGCCAAAGAAATGCGCTTGATACTCAGTTTATCCAAGCTTCTAACCTTAAATCCGAGCTTGGTTCGACTGTCTGGGGTGACAAGGTAGCCATGTCCAGCGACAATGGTAGACAGTGAGATCACTAGCACAACTGCGGCAGGCTTCATGATGTTGAGGGAAGGTGTAGTTTGTTAAAGCAAAGTGAATGGTTGAATCGGATACAGACCACACAAAGTGTCGGGGCTAGTTCCTTTTATATTCTCATGTTTCGCTGTTTGTGCTTCACTCATTCCCGAGTTGGTTGTTGTTGCAAGACTTGATGCTACAATTTTGACAGGGTGCGGACAAGAAGGCCAATCATGAAGAGCTGTTTATTAGATATCGCATTCTGTGAAGAGTCTCACTCAACTAGGCCCCTGTAAAGATGATCAGCATCGACGTCGCCAGGTGTAGGACTGATGCCGGGGTTGCAGAATATATGATCAAAATGATTGGACTATCTTGCTATGGGTCAAAGCCATTCCAACGCCGTTGGGGAAATCCCGGGCTCGGCAGTCACTTTGGCTGAAGGATGCGATGTCCGATATATTCCCGCCAATTAACAAATTCCATAGCCAGAAGATTAGATCGATGTGCAGGAGAAGTGCAGTATGCATAATTTTACATGACTATATAGAGATGTTTCATCCAAACACTGATGTCAGACGTGATAATTACATAGCTTTTCCTTCAAATTTGGCTTGACCGCAGCTTTACACTGGGATAGACATCCTCGTTTCTATATCGTATTCTTCATTTACCTGAAACGCTTGAGCCTTGCCGTGGCAATGGTGACTGCGGGGTAATTTCAGCCTTTCTAACGCCATGGCGCTCAGCAAAGAAAGATCGACAGAGACATCTCGGCTTTATGCTTTACGGGGGTTTCCCGACTATTACCCGACAACTCATTGCTGTGTGCACATTAGTAGTTTTGTCTTAGACCCCTCATCGCAGGTTGCAATGTGCCCCAAAAAGTCTCGTTTATAATGCTTTGTCTGTCACGGTCATCATCTACATCGGCACTAACGGGCATATCTCAGCCGACAGACTCGGAGACCACTACCATTTTTCCTGATGATGCCGGAATATCTAGTGATAAGCGTGTATATCGATAAGTGGCTGGGTTAGGCATTCCAGCTATAGGAGTGGTGCTAGTACTGCGGCATTTTTCATTCCGTACCTTGACAGATGTAAAAGGGTAGGAACCGAAAATGATGCAATGCAAGCTTGATCTACGATATTCAAGTACGGGATCAAAGGAGGTCTGTAGGACGTGAATGATGCGAGACACAGGTAAATCAGGGGGATCCTAGATCCTATCCGGTTAACAAAGATTACCGCATAGTCAGGCCAGCGTTCTACAGCCCTAATTGCTTCTGGGCTGTTTGCAGCTCAATGCAGTAGCTGGCTCTCTGCTTTTCAACGATATATATACTATGTATATAAACCATACAGTGGACACATTCGCTGCAATACCTGACATCATACCTCACAGGCGAGCAGCTGATAGGGATAATGTAGGGTCCAGGTTATACCACTACCGGGCCTAGCTAGCCCCGACCAGCAAGTTACTTTTCACGCATACTGGGCTCGATCTCCTCTCTCGTAGGCACTGTGTCCAGTGCATCGATAGTGATATCAACACGAGGACCGGTGAAATTCTTTCTTCCGTCCACAAACCACTGGAACACGGAGATGATAATAATAACAGCAAATGCTGCAATACAGTAATCTATATAGGTAGGTTAGTGACATACTGTTATAGACATCCCTATAGGTAGACTCACTCATACTGCTTCCTGTAACCGTGCTTGACGGAGGGAAGACAAATAGGACGGTAGTCAAAGTGATATATGATAAAGCAACCTGGTCATGATCAGAGAGGTTCCACTTTATTCACCCATACCCGCAACATACCAAATCGACAAACCATCCAAGTGCATTAGGTAATTTCCATTTTCTTTCGGGGAGCGATCTGCGCCCCTGAAGACAGTTGATGGCAATGGGTATTCCATAGGACAGATCAAGAGCCACGACTGAGGCTGAGATAATTGCGTTGAAAGCACTAAATTCAGTTAGTTACCATTTGAATGATCCCCCATGGATGGTAAATCTTACCTTGTAGAGCCTAGGAAGATGCATCCGAATGCGATCACCACAACAACACTAAGAATGAGTGCGTTGAGGGGCAATTTGAGTGTTGGGTGGACTTTTGCGAAGAACCGGGAGGCAGGAAGGCCCCCATCTCTGCAAGGAATGAGTATACGCGTTGTGTGCTGGAAAGGAGATCAAATACCTTGCAAATGCAAAGATCATTCGGCTACTAGTGGTCATGACGCTAATTATAGCAAAGACCAAGCAGACCAGAGGCAACCTAGAACATGGCGTCAGAGTAGAACCAAAATGGGGGAGAGGTACACATACATCAAGAGGCAGATAGCCCCCGCGTTACTTTTGGTCGCATCGAGCAGGATCTGCAGAAGAGGACCGGCTGCGGAGGTCGCGACCTTTTCCATATTTCCTGCAACAAATAGAAGGACTATCAAAAAGATAGAACCGGTGAACACGCCGATGCCAACGCAGCTAACCATAATTTTGGGGCCCTCGATCTCAGCGTTGGGCACCTCTAAAAACGCGATGTGTCAGTCCCTCTCTCTATCTTATTAGATCTAGGGCACTCCTTTACCTTCGATCATGTGTGCCACGGCATCCTAGATAAAGTTAGTTGGCTTGATTGGTTCTGGTATCACAATAATCATGATGACCTACAAAGGCAGTCACGCCAAGCCCTCCTTGAAGCAACTGGAATATCTGTTAGTATCGTTGCAGTATTATGTGAGTATAGTACACATACACCAAGAAGCCATGCGATTCCATCAGGCCCTAAACTGAATTAGCAAAATTGTCATGATGGAGTTATCAGGGAGTTATACAGCCTGTTGTATTAACAAAATCACAGAAGACAAAGCTGTTGATGTCAGTAGTCCGCCATAAACTTGATAACGCCAAAGGAGATCATACTAAGCTGAGTTGTAATTGGGAGAAGCGCATGCGAGACACGTAATTGATACAATCACAAAACCTCCAATTGACCACATGACTACATATTGTTAGAGATGGAGCGAGCCAAACTGGGAGAAGGCATCCCACAAGCACCACGGTAAATGACTGGCAAGATAGAGTTCATGAAAGCATTGATGACGAAGGAGCCAACGGTCAGTCCAATGTAGATAAGAAATTGATGCCAGCGTTGCGGGGCGTAGCTCTGCAGTATCATGTTAGTAGTGCGGTAAGAGTATGGGTGAGCTCTCTCACTTCGTGAAGAACGGAAATGATGCCAACAATAAGCTGGCTAGAAAGAAGGGAGTTTGTGGCTACGAGGGCAACCTGGCCATGCGTTAGTTTAAGCACCACATTGAATCGTTCCTTTTCCTACCCAACCTGCCACGTTGATCCAGCCTGTAACCCATGATAGGATTGGTACTGTGCTCGGCCACGCGACTTTCGATTCGTTAGTATGAACTGTGAAAAGATGTCATAGAGTTAACATACTGGCTGGCGTCAAAGTTAGCGTCGGTCCAAGTTATACAGTATTTACAGATACAGTGTGACATACCTGCAACCCAATGATACTGTCCACCGGCTCTGCAAAAAAAAAAGAAAGAAAATGAGTCTGGTGTATATAGCGAAAGGAGACATGTCGGAGCTTACGTTGGATATGCTGAGAGAAATTCAGCCAGCGAAGATGCGATACAAAGATTGCAGAATCCTGCAGTGATCAGTCCTAGAATTTGCGTGTCAGCGATGTCTCAGAAACCAAGTATTTCTGATTGACCTACCCCAAATCACACTTGTACTTCCACCAGATGTAAGACTGATCGACAAACTGGCCGAAAGTGCAGTCCACGACTAGTCTGGTTAGTTAAATACCCCGGTCGCAATCCATGTCTGACATACATTAAGAACCGCAAAGGCCAAACCAAGCATTGACCTAACGATTCCCATCAGCATCAAGCCTTGCATATGCTAGCCCATCCCTCTCACCATGTCGAATGACTACGTTGGAGTTCAGGCCGATGGCCCATGGCCGCGAGCCGGGCATCATCGCCTTGAAGTGGACCGTCTTTCATAGTGGATCACGATTGAAGGATGCGTAGAATGTTTACAAGTCCAAGAGTTGGGAGATGGACCACTCTAAGTATCTCCTCCATTCAAACGTATCAGGAAGGCATTGCCAGACGAGTTCACTTTGCGGTTAAGCTCCGATAGGGGGGACTTATTTCATATGCGGGGAAGCCCCCAGGGCTCTGTGTAGCTGCAAATCATCTTATCTCGGGGGCTGGAGACGCTTATCACGAGTGCTTACAGGCTAAGGTGCTAGTCGGTTGGCCGCATGGACTTGCCCAACATCGTAACTATAATCTTGCTAACACCAATTAAAAAGCGGGGGAAAGGGCGAATCTTAATTCAAATATCACATGTAATAGAGGGAGCTTGGTTAAATACAGAGTAGGACAGTGTAGAATGCAATTTCTAGATGTCAAAGTTGATCTATCTTGCATTTCATCCCTCCACTGTGGATTTTCCTAAATGACTCGAATAAATGTTGGACCGCACAACTACCTACATATATATCACCTGGGCATCTACCCCTTACCTAGTCCTTTCCATTGCGAGAGAGGGAAATGCTCAACCGACAGTCGCCGTCCCTTAGTCGCGCTTGAAAAGGTGCAACATATCAACATACATATTTGGCGATTGTGAGACGGCTTCAAATTGAAACTCATAAATGTACATGATCAAGTTGATACAACATTAACTCCAGATATGCCTATTCTCCGCGCATGTGGTGCCTTGGAATCCACCAAATCCCAAATCCTTCAAACTCCATTCAAACGCAAGTCGCAAATCGAGCAGGAAAAAAAACCTTCCTCTACTTCAAAACTACCAGCATCTTGAAGTACGGATCCGATGTTCATTGAACATTGTAGGTGTCAAGCGCATGCTGGATATCGTGCAGACTATTCTTGTCGCCGTACGCGTCCATCAACTGTTGGTTTCGCGCCAGGCGTTCCTGTTCTTCCAGCAGAGAGAGTTCCCGCCGCGACTTGGCCGCAACGTAGTAATTGTAGGCACCGAAACCTGCACGTGCGAGAGTCAGTATGATCCCTACAACATACGAAGAACACGCAGAGATTAAACATACCGAGACCAACCGTAGCCATTAGAGGAATCAGCCTAAATGAACAAAGTCAGCGAGTCGCGATACTAAAGAAGAAAAAAGGGGGCGGCACAACTTACAGCCGCCCATTCCGAGGCTTGAGGCTGGTTGGGTTTCCGTATCGTTTGTTCGCGCCCGGGAGAGCAAATTGAGACATCATGATGTATATCTTTGATTGTAGAATGTTCCTGGAAAGTATAGTCGGGGATATTCAGGAGTATTGAAGTTAAGTAAAGAAGCAAAATGAAGTAAATCCAAGGCCGAACGGAGGAAGCGGAATGCGGGGAATCATGACGTGGAGGTCCGAGGTTCGCTTCCGAGGTTCGCTCTAAGAGGTCTATACCTCCTGTGGTGATCAGGCCACATTCATTGGGCTTCATCATACAATTCCGAGGTTGCGTGGTATGATTCTCTAAAACGCAGAGTTCCTACAATTCAAGTATGTTACATTGAAATCATGTCATAATTAAATCATCGTGTCGCGTGTCATCCATCCGCATTCGGAAAAGGCCAAACCATTCCCGTCTATAAATTATGTTAACTTCAAATATTGCACCGATTTCCCATAACTATCATATGAGACCTGATTGAGACCTGATCATGCAAGTGCCTTAATTGCTGTTGTTCTGAGGCGCAGGGGTTGCCGGACCCTCCGGGGTCACATAAGCCTGAAATAATTCGTTAGCGCAATCTGGAGAAATTACCCTGCGCGTCAAACTTACCTTGGTCATTCCACCATCGACAACAAAGTCCGTTCCATTTACGAAGCTGCTCTCATCGCTGGCCAGGAAAACCACAGCGTGAGCCTGCTCGATGGGTTCACCAAACCGGCCAGTGGGGAAGTGCACCTCCCGACGGAACCGCTTGGCCTGGTCATCACCCAGCCAGTCTTGCAGAAGAGGGGTGCTGTACCAGCGTGAGCTAATGTGTAGCAAGATCTAGTCAGAGAAACTTACTTCAAGGGGGCGGGGCAAAGAGCGTTGAAACGGAACCCCTCACGGGCATGAACGATAGCCAACTCCCGAGTCATCGCCAGGACCGCACCTTTGCTCGCGGTGTATGCGAGTTGAGGAGTGGCGGCGCCAACCAAGGCGACGACACTAGCTGTGTTGATGATACTGCCACGGGCCTTCTTGTGACGACGCAGACTGAGGACGGCGTGCTTGCTGCCGAACCAGACACCCTTGACGTTGATGTTGTGTGTGAGGTCCCAGATCTTCTCGGGCGTATCAATGGCATCTGCGTCGTTGGCGTGCATAATTCCGGCATTGTTGAAGATCACGTCAGTGCCTCCCCAGCTATCCTGTGACTCAACCATTGCCTGCACATCCGACTCCTTGGACACGTCGCATCGGATCGACTCGACTCGAAGGGCGGTGGGCACTACTTCCTTCACTTTGGCCAATGCCTTTGCGAGGGCGGGCTCGGATACATCGGCCATCAGAACATTGGCACCCTCACGGGCGAAGAGGATACTGGTTTCGAGGCCGATGCCACTATCCATAGGCCGCAATTGGTTAGGCTTTTTGTGCCGGGATGTTACTTTCGGGGAGGAAACAATAGACATACCCGCCTGCACCTGTGATGATGGCATTCTTGCCTTGGAGACGTCCTTGGGGAGTAGTGGCAGCCATTATGACCTTATCTTGAAGCTCTGTTTGTAGAAGTGGACCTAGGTTAGCAATGACTCAACTCCAAAGTATTGTAATATATCCACAAAAAGTGCTAGAGGAGGTCGCTCACGTGAATTGAGAATAATCGAATCAATACGAGAGTTGTCAATATCACCGAGTGTGTTGCACCGAAGGTATACCCGTGGGCGCGGGGCAGCGTGGATCCCGTTAGGTAAGCGGTGACGATGAACCTTGGAAAGGTGACCCAAAGTGGTAAGGCGTCACCGATATCTCGCTGATAAGCTTCCAAGCTGGCCAGGTGCGCTGGCCACTTGCTCGGAATCCCTGAACTGGATTTACCCGATTTACTCGATTTACTCGATTTACTCAATTTGCCTGACTTGAAACGTGACTTTTATTGTTTTGTTCCCTCTTTTCCCTTATCTTTACCCTCGTTCTCCTCATCCTAGTTCACATTATGTCGAGCCCCGCCGACCCCGAGGTCACAGCCGAGAATGTCGCCGAGGTCCTTCGGAATGACACGAAAGTGAAGGTGGCGGGAGTGGATGTGGATGGCATTCTGCGCGGCAAACTCATGAAGAAAGACAAGTTCTTATCCATCATCGCCGAGGGCTTCGGCTTCTGCTCTGTCATCTTCGGCTGGGATCAACATGATGCGACGTATTATAAGGAGCTGGCTATCAGCAACAAGGAAAACGGATATCGCGACCTTGTCGCAGTCCCAGATTTACGCAGTTTCCGTCGCATTCCTTGGGAGAACAATGTGCCCTTTTTCCTCATCAGCTTCTTGGATCCAGACACACGGGAGCCGGTTTGCGCCTGCCCACGGGGATTGATAAAGACTGCAGCTGCCAAAGCCGAGGCGGCGGGGTATCGGGCGATGGCAGGAGGTATGTCTGATTGCAGACCCGGGTGTGCGCGATTCAACGGCTGATCAGACTGATTTTAACCAGCGGAGTATGAATTTTACCAATTCCGCACGCCGGGAAACCACGTTACCCCCGAACAAGGCGCATCTGCAACGGCCGCCTTCCTCCTGTCGAATCCAGCCGATGCATTGCCGTCGTTGACAGAAGGCATGTTTGGTTATTCAATCACTCGGCCCCTCCACAACCAAGATTACTACTATGGGATCTTCGACGCCTGCGAGCAGTTCCGATGCGATATTGAAGGGTGGCATACTGAAAGCGGACCAGGAGTCTATGAAGCTGTTAGTGGTACATGAGAGTGAACAGATCAAATTGGGACTAAACATCGTGATAGGCGTTACAATTTGGCGAAGCAAAGGATATGGCTGATAAGGCGGGGTTGTTCAAGTAGGATTGTTCCTTTGCCAGCAGTCCGGGTTGCTCTTTCATCATGGCTATTGCTAACCAGGGTGTGGGTATAGATACGTCGTCAAAGCATTCGGAATCAAGCATGGCATTACCCCATGCTTCATGGCCAAACCCCGACAAGGGCTGCCAGGGAACAGCGGACACATGCATATCTCGCTCGTCACGGCCGACGGAAAGAATGCCTTCATTCGCGACACCCCCGATCCATCCCCCCTCTACCCCGATATCGCCCATCTGTCCGACTTGGGTCGACACTTCCTAGCTGGCCTTCTTGTCGGCCTGCCGGACATCATGCCTATCTTAGCCCCGACGATCAACTCCTACAAGCGCCTGGTGGAGAACTTCTGGGCGCCGGTCACGGTCTCTTGGGGACTGGAGCACCGGGCCGCGTCAATCCGTCTGATCACCCCACCGACAGCCAGTGCAAAAGCGACCCGGTTCGAGGTTCGCGTGCCAGGTGCGGACACCAATGCACACCTTGTTCTCGCGGCGATCCTGGCATTGGGATGGCGCGGAGTTGAGAAGAAGCTCGAGATACCCGTGCCGCCTCTTGCCCGCGGTGAGGATATGGGCGGTGCTAGTGATCAGGGTGTGCGTCTGGCAAAGTCCCTGAAGGAGGCGATCGTTACATTTACGCGGCCTGAGAGTGTCGCACGGGAGGTCTTCGGCGATTTATTCGTCGACCACTTTGCCGGGACTCGGGAGCACGAGGTGCGCTTGTGGGAAGAGGCCGTGACCGATTGGTATGTGATTCATCTACTGCGATGTCCATTTGTATGCTGACTTGACATGTTCACAGGGAGATGAAGCGATACATCGAGACCGTGTAAATGCGCATTTGTTTCATATTTGTTTTCTGATTTCCAGAGAGACGCAGGATTCGGCAGATATGGGGAAAGAATTGTACATAGTCGCATTGGGCTAGAGATGGGTGTGTAAGGGCGCGTAAGGGCACGATGTTAGCAAGGTTACTGCCCCAGATATATACCAAATGACCTTTAACATTGAATCGGAGGTTGTCGATCTACGAGAGTCTAGATGTATGTATAGTCACGCGTTTTCGCTCCCCAGCAACATCACATGCGGTCACATGCCGACGAATACAGGGTGACGCAGAAAACCGCCGGGACAATTCGGCTTCGGATATGACTTTTTTGAACCCTACGAGATATGGATGATCAGAGACAGCCGCGGTTGATTGGAGTTTCCGGGACATGCGGAGAGTTATTCTACAGCCACGTTCGGGTGAAGCAGGGGGGTGAGGTAGGGATGAGAGTTGTTCAAAGTTTTATATATTAGATTCAAAAATTGGTCATTATCATCCTGAAACCTATATAACTGTCATGTTTTCCCAAAGATGTTGACCGAAGTGAAGAGCCGTAGAATTCGGTATACGGCGAATGCCGTTCTGATTGGGAGTGATTGCGGTGTTTTGTAGAGGAACAAATAAGCTTAAAGGAACGGGGAACAGGGAATGTCGGCCGAGAGGAAGAGTTTCCCGTGGGAAACTCGTCAGTTTAACCTCCAGTCTGAGAGAGACACGGCCAAATGGGGTTTCGGCTTATCGAGCGGGTCCAGGACCAACCGCGGCAACTTGGTGACTCTGACGTATTTGATACCCTCGGGCAGATGGCTATATAGGAAGAATATTAGTATTGCTTCTTCCTCTAATTCTTTATTTTCTATTCTCAAATTGAAGAATTCCATACTCGTTCTGTACATGGAATACCCATAGTACACCATTTCCACTCCACATATTCCATACCACATATACATCATGTCTCACGTCGAGGCCCAGCTCAAGGATGTCGCTATCCTGGGCGCCATCAATAACGATGCTCGCAAGATCCTGACCAAGGAGGCATGTGCCTTTTTGGCTCTGTTGCACCGCACCTTCAACCCAACCCGCAAGGCTCTTCTCCAACGCCGCATCGATCGCCAAGCCGAGATTGATAAGGGAAACCTTCTCGACTTCCTCCCCCAGACTAAGCACATCCGTGAGAATGACGCCTGGAAGGGTGCTCCTCCCGCTCCAGGTCTCGTGGATCGCCGTGTCGAGATTACTGGCCCCACCGACCGGAAGATGGTGGTTAACGCGCTGAATTCCGATGTCTGGACTTACATGGCTGATTTCGAGGATTCGAGCGCCCCGACTTGGGACAACATGGTGAACGGTCAGGTCAATCTGTACGATGCTATCCGCCGGCAGGTCGACTTCAAGCAGGGCGATAAAGAGTACAAGCTCCGGACTGACCGCGCCTTGCCCACTCTGATTGCCCGTGCTCGTGGCTGGCACCTGGAGGAGAAGCACTTCACCGTGAACGGCGAGGCCATCTCCGGTGGTCTATTCGATTTCGGTCTGTACTTCTTCCACAACGCCAAGGAGCTGGTCGCCCGCGGTGCCGGTCCTTACTTCTACCTCCCCAAGATGGAGTCTCACTTGGAGGCTCGTCTCTGGAACGACGTCTTCAACCTGTCCCAGGACTACATTGGTATGCCCCGCGGAACCATCCGTGGAACTGTTCTGATTGAGACCATCACTGCCGCATTCGAGATGGACGAGATTATCTACGAGCTCCGCGATCACAGCTCCGGCCTCAACTGCGGCCGCTGGGACTACATCTTCTCCTTCATCAAGAAGTTCCGCAACCACCCCAACTTCGTCCTACCCGATCGCTCCGACGTCACCATGACCGTGCCTTTCATGGATTCCTACGTGAAACTTCTCATCAAGACCTGCCACCGTCGTGGCGTTCACGCCATGGGTGGCATGGCCGCACAGATCCCCATCAAGAACGACCCTGCCGCCAACGACAAGGCCATGGAGAGTGTTCGCGCCGACAAGCTGCGCGAAGTGCGCGCTGGTCACGACGGCACCTGGGTTGCGCACCCTGCACTCGCAGCGATTGCCTCTGACGTCTTCAACACCCACATGCCCACCCCCAACCAGCTGTTCGTCCGCCGCGAGGAAGTGAACATCACCGCCAACGATCTCCTCAACACCAACGTCCCTGGCAAGATCACCGAGGAAGGCATCCGCAAGAACCTGAACATCGGCCTTAGCTACATGGAAGGCTGGCTCCGCGGTGTCGGTTGCGTGCCCATTAACTTCCTCATGGAGGACGCCGCCACAGCCGAAGTTTCCCGCAGCCAGCTGTGGCAGTGGACCCGACACAATGTCAGCACAGCCGAGGGCAAGCGCATGGATAAGGCGTTTGCGCTGCGTCTGCTGCAGGAGCAGGCTGATAGTCTGGCGGCTAAGGGTGGCAAGGGCAATAAGTACCAGCTTGCTGCTCGGTACTTTGCTGGCCAGGTTACCGGTGAGGATTACGCGGATTTCTTGACCAGCTTGCTGTATAACGAGATCTCCTCTGCCGGCAGTGCTGCTAAGCTTTGAGTGGAGCTGTGATTTTTATGATGATGAATACCCTTTGTTTCTTTTGCCCCACCTGACTTGAACACGACACCATCCACCATCTGCAGTTAGCATAGTTGTATAAAACTTATTTTATTCAGATTAGCTTTTACCAGCGTAGCGTTTAGATGAATCATCTGTGTGTCGTTAGTAAAATATCATCTCAATTTTCCATGATGCGATATACATTTGGGACACCCAGAATACAGCCATGGGGTGTTTATTGATGACATGAAATATGTTTTGAACGCGGATACCAGAAGTTATTCCTTCTCTCGGCTTAGGCTTTTATTCCGGAAGTCTCATAAAACTGGCATTCGGAACATATCTTCATAGCAGGGTATTAAGTACTTGAGTACCTAGATATTCGTGCGCAGGACCTTTTCCTTTCTAAAAGTCGTTGAACTATGCACCGCATAATGAACGCAGGCCGGCCGTACCGATTCAACTACCCTAGCATCCTCATCATAGGATTTGTTCATTTTAGCTCCAAGGCTCTCTGCGTAGATCTTCTTAATAGAGTGAAATTAAAGATACCATGTCGTCTTTCAAGAGAATTCGATTCGGACGACACCATTTTTGCCCGAGACAGCCAAAATATGTAAAATTAAGGTAGAAGTATCCAACTGCATCCTCCATGTCCTTCTAAGGGCCACGCCTAATAATCATACTGTACAACCGAAATGCCAAGCTACAAGGTCAAACAGTCTAGATGTACTCCCAAGCAACCGGGGTGGTAGTGTTGACAGCAACAGCCAGAGCACTAAAGCCGAGGCAGTCATCAACATTACCAGAGGGAACAGTAGCGTTCTTCAGAGCAGCATAGACCTGCCACTTAGGGGCGGCAGCAGCGCCCCGACGGGAACGGCGGTAGCCAGTAGTACCGTTGGTAGTCGGGCAAGCCATGAAGCCAGATGCACCCTGGCCCTTGAAGCTCCAGTGGCCAAAAGAGGTGCCAGGAGTGTAGGCGAAGGGACCATCGGAGGAGCCAGCGGGCTCGTAGGCCGAGTGAGGGGAGGTGAAGCGAAGGGCACCCTTGTTATCGACGTAGATAGCCTGGCCACCGGGGACCTCAACGTCCTGCATGTAATGTTAATGAACGGGAACATGGGGAAGATATATGAATGGGTATTTCTAACCAAGAAGTGACCGTTGGCAATCACGGTCTGGTTGGTGTTGGGAACTCCGGGAACGGGAGAATAAGTGTGGGCGTTACCACCGAGCCAGAAGTAGGTACCGGCGGCATTGAGAGGCAGCAGGTGGACGGGAGAAGCCGAGCGAGCAGACATAACGCTGAAGGCAGCGTCGGAGCTATTGGCCTGCTTGGAGCCGGGGATGGCAGCCACAAGAGGGGCGAGAGCGAGAAGGGCGGAGAACTTCATTTTCAGGGAGAAAGGAAGTAATTGACAATTGAAGATGAGGGATTTCTCTATGGAGAAAAAGATTCGACGGGATCTGTCAGGGTCATATATAAAATGGGCTCAGAAAGGGACGTGCTTGGGCAACTCCATAAGCGGATCCATCAGAGAAATGTTGTGATCGACATCGAAGTCCGATGGAACCGAATTGAAGAGTCAAGAAAGAGGGGAATATGTCGTCTACCCTATAACCCCATTCGGGGATATGGAGAGACGGGAGTGTAGGGAGCCGTAAGACCCAAAATGGGAAGAAAGCCGAGTTAGGTAGGAGTGACAACAAATCACTCGCATACGACATAGCAGAATGTCTCTCACCACTGTCCACTTGGACCACTAAGGGTTTCATATTTAGAAACATGGCAGGATCCAACTCGGTCGCAGAATCTCCACTGAAGATCGGACCAAATGGACCACACACACTTTGCCCGTTTCTGTCGTTTATGCCATTGTACACCTCTTCACTGTGTCAATTGACACAAAGCCAGATAATAATAGCAGATGGGACCCCAATTGATCCAAAACACACACACGGTAGGACTCTGAAGATCCCAATAGAAGAGCCCGAAGAAGCTGTTTCAGAGAAATCGTAAAAGTTGGACAGTGATTAGAGATCGACAGGACTTATCGGAACTCCGACAGGTTTTGCCACTAAGGAATACCAAGAAGAAACCGCCAACCTCTTAGCTGCGCCATATGGGGATCCACGATATCCACATTGTCTCAGGGCACATCCTTGACATCATTGTGGTGATATCAGGGATCTATTGAGAGTCGTTACATTGCAATTCCAATTTGGGAAGTTCTCGAATGTCTCGACTCAATATAGGTGAGATAAATTATAGAGTCGAAACAGTTGATTTGAAACATTAATTATTCTTATACATCGATGTCTAGTTATACGATGTGGTAGTATTAGATCGAGGACTTCCATATGTAGTTGAATATAAATAGACAGAATTACCATAGCCATCAGATCAGCCCTTGGGACCTACTAGCACTGCCACCGTCTTGCGATATATATTTGTCTCACCCATAAATGTGGAGTGATGACATGGAATGATACCCTACCAAAGTAGCCAACTCCGTGACGTACAGAGTGAATTGTTTATGTTGTATAGAAAGGATTACAACAATATAGCATGATAATTTTACAAACATCCTTATACATCCCATGATGTTTTTGATCCGTGGACAAAATTGTGGCACGGACCACCCGGTCTTGGTGGTCCTCACAAGATAGCTATTTCTCACATGCTAACCATTTTCAATAGAAAAATGCATTTAAACCACTGTTTACAAATAACCACCACGACTATCTATATACCAATTTGCAGGCCTACTATCTCTAGCTGCCATTGCAGCTTCATGTTCAGCCTCAGCTAAATCCCATGCTTTTTGATCTGTTCTTCAAGTTCCAATCCCTTGGCTTGTTTGGTATGCTTCCTCTAGCGCTTCTTAGCATCAGCATCATCCCTTTTTACAGTCATCCTATTTGCGCATCTAGGAGATAGGACGGAATTCTATGCTCTAAGAATCGATTTCCTGTTTCTCGGCTGATCTCTGGCTTGTTTATGGAATTCAGACTTCCTTAAAGATGCCTTCACCAAATCGAGCTATTGGGACAAATATGAATTCGCATCCATACGACGCTAGATATGCCGTTTCACTTGCTCATTTTGATTTTCCAGATCCTTAATTAGCTTAGTATTAAGCCTATTAACTCGAGTAAAAGTATCTAACTAGGGGCGAATTGGTGGCTAAGCTTAGGATTTTCGGAGGGGGAGGGTGTTGAGTAGCACCCTTAGATTCTTCTTAGCGTAAAGGAGCATATCCCCTTCCTCTACGTTTCATCACGCCTAATGCACGAGGTGGAGTATTTATGTTATAAACCGATCTCATTGACCTATGACATATGATATTAAAGACGTCGTATCAAGAACCAATATAGTGCCGCCATATGAGAAGAGATGGAACAGACCCAAAGAGGAGGGTCGGACATATGTGGCCAAATCACCTGGTGTCAGTTCCAACGAGGATACTTAGGATGGTTTCTAATCTGGTATCAGTAAAGATACTCAGAAGTTCAATCGGATGAAGCAGTTAAAACGGCTGCTGTCATCTCGGCAGCCAAGTGACAAGCTTCGCCGCTTAAGCACTTTGCTGCTGCTCTCTCGCGAGACTTAGACTGATCAACATTTGAAGGATGAAACGCATACGGAGTGCATCTGGTTTGCCATGCGAATCTCCATTTTACCAGCGACGAGAAATCGGACCGGCGCTGGGATTTCCTTGGCTCAAGGTCATCTATATCAAGGAAAAGAATAGTTAGCCGCGTATGCGGACTCTGTCCTTGAGGGCCTAAGACTTAGATAATTTGTAGGGATGTTATACGTAAGAACCCTCCGATGGCCTTTCGGATGTTCTTTTTATGTGCCTTGTTTGATGTCTTCTTGGGTATATACGAAGACGGTAAAAAGCATACTTTGTGCAGGGCCTTTCTCTGTATACATAACCTTCGAACCTTTGATATGCAGTTCCTTGGTTTAGTCCTTCCTACTCTCGTTTTGGACAGTTTGTAGGACGGTTAGTACCTCGCTATTAACGGAGCACATGGAAGAGAGAAATGAGTTAGACCTGACTTGTATATAGAAGAAAGAGATCTCTAACAAAGAGGCAGGTACTAACAAACACAAAGCCGAGTGAGGAGTGGTAGGCCTTAGGCAGCCACTATTAACAATGCCTATGTAGGAAGTGGAACGAGCCACATGGAGACAGAGTATATTACACTTCACCTGGTCATTGCTGACCCCAAACATTCTTAACCACCACACCATCTCTTGATTCTTCAACCAACTTCCATCTTGCTTTTACCTACACCCCCATCTAACCATTATGTCTGCCGGTATCCCCACGTTGAGGCTTGGTGCGGGTCAACGGGCTGCAGCCAACCTCCAAGCCCGTAGTGAAGTCATCGCCAATATCGAAAATATTTACAGGCGCGTCGAACTTTACCATTCTGCGAATATAAACCCCGCCTCCTATGGGATTCTTGGCATCGATTATCGACCTCTTAAGCTAGACGAGAATGGGAAACACCTTGAGATCCCAGGTTCCGATCCCTCTAGTCCGATTTTCTTTGAACCACAAGGTGCTGCATGGGTTCCTGATGTTTGTGAAGCCGACCCTGAAGTCACGGCAGACCTGAGGGAAATCACTGATGAATGGGAGAGTGCCAAAGATGATCCCTTAGTCCAGAGCCTTCATTCCCAGGTCTGGTATGTCTTTTTGGGCCTGGAGCGGATGTTCTTCCAGTTTCGCCGAGAGTTTGACCCCCAGGGAGATGGTGAACCCCTGCCTAACCTTAGGCAAGTGTCGAGATGGGTGAAGAGGTAAGATATTAAGCCCCTTTGCGACACAAGATTGGTACTAACGTGCGTTAAACAGTGGCACCATTGTGCCATCGGTTATCGCCGAGAGATTCTACCCAGCTATTTGGGGATCGATGCGATGCTCGCTGGCCGCTGCTTTTGTGCCGAAGAAACAGCTATATCCTACAGGAACACCCCCGCACACTCTAGTCCATATCTTGATTGAACAAGAGCCCAGCGAAGCGCTGACCCGGGCAGAGGTGATGATCCTTACCGCAACTATCATTACACGAGTAGAGGGCGAGGATTGTTTGGAGTCCGACACTATTCCGGTGAGTATAGGCCTAAGATACCGTCATATGTCTCAAAAGTTAATATATATTCATAACAATATAGGTCATGGCTATTACGATCTTCGGGCGAATGAAAGCCCGAGTAGTCGAAGCCCATTGCACCCCGCAAGGTCTAGTCACCAAGAAGACCGACCTTTTTGAATTTTCGACTAACAAGATCGCAAACATGAATATGGACATTCTGCTCGGATTCATGTGTGCCGACCTAGTCGAAGGTGCTAGTGAGATCCCACGGCCACTGCTCCACACGGTTACCCAAGAGACCAAAAGGTCATAGCAAAGTCAGTTCATGGGAACTGACTTCACTGCAGTGGTATATATATGTAGGTGCCACACCATGTGGGATCACACTATAAACTTATAGATATAGCGACGACTATAGCGAGTACACCCGATATAGTTACGGCTTTTCGGATTTATTATATAGTTAATATAACGAGAAGTATAGTATTTATAAGGGTTATTAATAACCGAGCTATTTTAAAGAATCTTATTATATTAAGCGAGCCTATTTCTTTTATAAGCCTCGTTATTAACTAGTATAATATAACGGGTATATAGCTAGAGAAGGATAAAATGAAAAGGAAAAAGGGGCTATTGTAACAGAAAAGTGTTATGGAAATGGATTCCAGGATCTTGATATACATTTAACTTCTTTGTCTCGAGTTTCTTTGATGGTTGCTAAGGGTCGACCCATGTGATCATCCTGAGAACTACCAGTGTCCGAAAGAGGACTCGGAAGCTAGCTGAACACATCATCGTGACAGGCACAGTTCAGGGACGAAGAGGTACAAGAGTGCCTTCACAGGAAACTTGGACTTAGCAAGAATTAGTCTCTGCAAGAAGAATACCATACGTTTCCCCCCCCCACTGTTCAACTCGTCTGATCAATAGGACTAGCCTGGCAGTATTTCTTTACAGCTATTACCTATCTAGCGGGAATCGCGGCTTTATGTAGTTGTAGGCAGCTACGGCCTACTAGGTTCTTATCTCAAGATTTTCGTTTTGATCCGACATCGTGGGGTGGTGTAAAATGAGTAGGAAATTGATAGAAATGGAAAAATGGTTATCTTGTGAGAAATGGCTATCTTGTGAGGACCACCAGGTGGTGGTGGTCCGTGCCCCGATTAAGGGGCATTTGATATGATGTCAGTGATATGATGTCAGGTGACCCACCCTTTTCTTCGTGGACGCAAGATAGGACAAAAATCAATCTGCCAAACTTGTGCTTAATCATTTCCAGAGAGTCTGCAAAATCATGTCCATCGAAGACTGAATGGCTTCCCCACGTGCCAAGCCCGGAGCCTCGCGCTTGGTCCAATCCTCCAACCCTCCCACGCGTCGCGGTTATACGTCACGACAGGACCGAACAGTCGACCACTCAACGTCAGAGAGCAGTTGGGGACAAAATGATGACCTAGACACCCCCTCAAGTGGAGAGGAATACTCCGAGCAGGCCGATATAAAGCTTCTACCTTTGGAACGAGGAGATTCACGACCGTCGAGCTCCAAAACAAATGACACAAAACCCACTCCCGTCGATGTCCCCGACGACGAGCGTGATGTCTCAAAGCGCATAAAAGAGCTTCTCGAGGCGGATCGCACCGTACTATTGGATTCATTCGCTACAGATTTGGAGGAAGGACATTCGGGCAGAGACTCGCTAGCTCTCAGTGATCGATACAGTGACGACTATGGTATGCCGTCTGACAAGGGCTTTCTGTTGAAAGACAAAAAGAGCGAAGATGAGAAAGGCTTTGAATGGAGGTCATTGTTTCGTCTGCATTCGTGGTGGACTGTTGTCGGCATGTTGATAATCGCCCTACTGGTAGTATGGTCTTCGATCAGGGGATTACCCTGGTCTTCTGCCGGAGGTGCTGTTGGTGAATTTGTAGGTCTTTTTTCCTTTTCGCTCGATGACTGGGATATCTAGAAAACAGTCCTAATAATCACAGCAAGCGGTCCCGTGGTACCCTACTCCCCTCGGCGGAACGAGTGAACAATGGAAGGAAAGTTATGGCAAGGCCCAAGAAATGGTCAGAGAAATGACCCTTGCCGAAAAAGTGAACGTCACGACTGGAACAGGTTGGCAAATGGGACTCTGTATTGGAAACACCGGTAGGCTTTTGCTATCTTCTCAGTACTACAACTAGGCAAACACTGACGCGAGCTGTGTTGTCTAGGTCCTGCCGAATTCGTTAAATTCCCTTCTCTTTGCCTACAAGATGGCCCGCTTGGACTCAGATTCGCGCAAAACATTACAGGCTTCCCCGCAGGGATCACCACAGGCGCAACATGGAACCGCGAGCTTATGCAAACGCGAGGGTTTGCTCTAGGAAAGGAAGCACGGCTGAAAGGCGTGAACATCATCCTCGGCCCATCCATGGGGCCGATCGGTATGATGCCTGCTGGTGGTCGTAATTGGGAGGCATTTGGTTCGGATCCAGTTTTGCAAGGCGTGGCTGCGGCAGAGACTATTCGCGGTATCCAGCGGAACGGGGTCATGGCCACGGCAAAACACTTTATTGGAAATGAACAAGAACACTTCCGTCAGTCATTTGAATGGGGTACTCCTACTGCGCTCTCGTCGAATATTGATGATCGCGCATTGCATGAGGTCTTTGCCTGGCCCTTCGCTGAGAGTGTACGTGCCGACGTGGCTAGTGTCATGTGCTCCTACCAAATGGTCAACAACAGCTATGCTTGCGAGAATAGTAAACTCATCAATGGTATTCTAAAAGATGAGCTCGGCTTCCAGGGATTTGTGCAGTCGGACTGGCTGGCTCAGCGTTCAGGCGTGCACAGCGCTATTGGAGGGCTGGATATGAGCATGCCCGGTGATGGCCTTCATTGGGCCGACGGTGTACCCCTCTGGGGAAGCGAACTGACTCGCGCAGCATTGAACACGTCTGTTCCCATGGAGCGCTTGAATGATATGGTCACTCGCATCGTGGCCGCCTGGTACCATTTCCGACAGGACTCGTGGGAACCCCCGGCACCTGAAGGCGATGGCGGGCCGAACTTTTCGTCTTGGACGAAGGAGCGAGTCGGGCATTTGCACGAAGGCTCACCGGATAATGATGCAATGGGTGTGGTTAATAAATTTGTCGATGCACAGGAAACTGGCCAGCACGCTCATTCTATCATTGCTCGCCATATCGCTGCAGAAGGCACCGTGCTTCTGAAAAATATCAATAATACTCTTCCACTCTTGCGCGCACAGTCCGCACCCAATGGCAAATACCGGGTCGGTGTATACGGCGAAGACGCTGGTCCCGGCCAAGGACCGAACGCTTGTGTTGACCGAGGATGTAATCAAGGGACCTTGGCCTCTGGTTGGGGTAGTGGAGCTGTAGACTTCCCATACTTGATTAGTCCATGGGAAGCATTGCAGTATGCGTGGTCGAAAGACACTGTCGATGTTAAAGCTTACTTGACGAACAATGTTGCACCACAGGATCTCGCAGAGCAGGAGCTCTGTTTAGTCTTTGTCAACGCAGATGGGGGTGAAGGATTTATCCGCAGTGGCGGTATTGATGCAGATCGGAATGACCTTTTCCTACAAAAGAACGGCACTCAGTTGGTAGAGGGGGTGGCCAAGCACTGCGGTGGTGGCCAAGGTAAAACCGTCGTTATAGTACACTCCATTGGCCCCGTTGTGATGGAGTCTTGGATTGACCTTCCTGGTGTCCACGCTGTACTGTATGCCAATCTACCCGGACAAGAAAGTGGGAATGCCTTGATGGACGTTCTATTTGGAGACGTTGACGCCAGTGGACGACTGCCATACACCATCGGACGAAGCTTAGAAGATTACGGCCCAGGGGCCCAAGTCCTGTTTGAGCATCCAGACTCATCCGTTCCACAGGTCGATCTCGACCAGGGCCTGTATATCGATTACCGGTATTTCGACAAGTACAACATCACTCCCCGATTCGAGTTTGGCTTCGGTCTGTCATACACGACATTCGACTACTCTGCACTGAGCATTGAGAAACTGCAGAAGAAGTCTCAATGGCCTTCCAGACGGCCCAATAACGAAGTCGAACCTCCTGCATACCACAACGAGCAGGACAGCCCCACTACCAATTTATTCCCTGCAGGTTTCCGTGCACTCGGCAAATATATCTATCCCTACCTCGCTACCCTGGAAGGAACCGAACCCGGTCCATACCCATACCCGGAAGGATACAACAAACGCCAGAACCCATCCGCCGCAGGCGGCGGACCTGGAGGGAATCCATCTCTATACGAGCCCATTCTCGAGCTGACCATCGAAGTGACAAACACCGGCACGCGCACCGGGCAAGATGTTATCCAGGTGTATGTTTCCTTCCCAGAGGATGTTGCCGAGCACCGCGGACTAGGCTGGTCTCGCGAGTCAATTGAGTTCCCCGAACGTGTCCTACGGAATTTTTCAAAAGTCCTCCTGCAACCAGGTGAGACCAGAAATGTCAAGATGACATTGACTCGGAAGGACCTCAGCTATTGGAGTGTCCGCGCGCAGAACTGGGTGCTGCCTATAGAAGGTAAATTCCGTATCTGGGCTGGGCGTAGTTCTAGGGATTTACCGCTCGTGGTCGAGTTTTGATCCGTTGCAGGACTTGGCTTAGGTTATGGTGTTGGAGGTCTATAGATACCATCATTGATTCAGGAGTTGCGAGTTCCTAGACGGTCTAGCTGATTAGAAAAAGTAACGAACTTGGTGAAATAAATTGACCACGGCATATGTTTATTCTACTGAGCAGGGCTGCATAAGGCTTGTGAAATGAAACAAGATCAAACAACGTATAAGACTTTTGCTTTGACATGGTAGATGCCTGAGGTATCTATACCGAAACATGTACAATACTGGCGAAAACAGCGCATGGCAAAATCTATGCCGAAAAATTAAGTGAAAAGAACGCCGAAACACCGTCTATGAGATCCAATGCAGACCAAAACATTATCATGGTGCTCATGATGCGAGGATATAATCGGAATCATTCTCCCAGCGATTACGAATCATAATGTTGAAGCACGTGGAAGCACGTGGAAGCACGTCTATTCGTCGTCGGAGTCCACGGGCTTGGGGGTACCCTTGGGGGAGTTCAACTAAAAAAAGGGATTAGCATACTGTGGAAAATAGAGATATGAACAAGAGAAACTCACCCATTCGATGTAGCGCAGACGACGGCGGGTCTCACGCTCCTTCTGCTGAGCACGGGTCATCTTCTTCTTCTTCTTAGCACGGAACTTGAGGTCGCCTTCATCGCCAGAGTTCACGGCGGATGGAGCGGCACTGGTAACGGCTGAGCCAGTAGCGGGGGTTCCAGCGCCGGAAGGCGAGTTGGTAGCGCTGTCCTCGAAGCGGTCAAGGCTGACGGCGTTGTTGGTACGGCTGACAACACGGCCGTCGGCGATGTGCAGTTGCTCAGGGCAGAGCGCGCCCACGAACTCTTCGTTGTGAGAAATCATAACGACGCCACCCTTGAAGTCACGGATGGCGACAGCCAGACCACCAAGCGAGTCACGATCCAAGAAGTTAGTCGGCTCGTCCAGGACCAGCAGATGGGGGTTGTTCCACATGGCACCAGCAAGGACGACCTTGACCTTCTGACCACCGGAAAGACCGGAGATCTCGTTGTGGTTGGCGATCTCGGGGTCCATGCCAATGTCCTCGAAGTGCTTGGTGATGGTCTTGGGGTCAAGAACACGGAAGCCCAGACCTTCACGGGAAGCCTCGTGATCGTCGAACTCCTGAACCAGCTTGAAGAAACCGAGCTCGAGCAGGGTCTCACGCGAGATCATAGTGTTGTGCTTAGGGAGAAGGCCAACCCACTTGACCTCATACTGGAAGGACTTCTTCCACTTCTGACGACCAATCAAGGTCTCGATGCGACGGGCACCACGGCCGTCGCCCAGGTCAACTGGCTTCTCCAGCTGCGCCTTGTCCTCATCAGTTAGAATACGGGTCTGCTTCATGAACACTTCACGATCATCACCGTTGGCGTAACGCCACTGGAGGTACTGGCTGGGGGTCTTCTCCAAATGCATCTCCACGTGCTCAAGAGCGTGCTGCTTGATGTAACCGATACGCAAGTTGGGGTGCTTCTCAACCTTTCCGCCCTGAGGAATGGTCTCGCCAGTCAGAATCTTGATGAAAGTAGACTTGCCGGCGCCGTTTCCACCGATGATAGCGACACGAGAGGAGAGCGTAAGCGACAGCGAGGCATCGTGTAGCGAGGGGCGGGGAGCGCCAGGGTAGGTGTAGGAGACGTTGCTCATGCGCAGAATGGCACGAGTCATGGACTTGATACCAGACAAGATGCCGGGGGGAGGGAACTTGAACTGCACATTGGATGCGGACAGAGTGTAGTAACTCTTGCCTTCGGGTTTCTGCTTGACGAATTCGGCAAGGTTACCCTTGTAGCAGACAAGCTTCTTGCCCTCGTAGTGGTAGATATCCGTGCAGACTTCATCGAGGAAGCCAGAGTCGTGACTAACGATCAGACTTGTGATCTCAGTGTGCGACTTAAGGTATTCCTGCAGCCACTTGACGTTTGCCACATCCAGGTGGTTAGTAGGTTCGTCCAGAAGGAGCACATCAGCCTTCTGGAGCATAGCACGGGCCAAAGCAAGCTTCATCTTCCAGCCGCCGGACAACGAGCCCACGGGCTGAGACTGGCGGCCCTCGGGGCCATCGGTGAAGCCGAACTCGAGGAGAACCTCGCGAATGTGGTCCATGCCCTGAGAAACAATCTTGGGGTCCTTGGAGACATATTCAAGGATGGTCAGGTTGGCGTCTTCACCCTGGTTGTGTTCCACGAAGCAAGTGCGCACGACATCCTGAGGCGGGAAGCCTTCCAGCTTCTCGTTGGCGATACTGCGCATGAGGGTGGACTTGCCAGCACCGTTGCGACCGCAGAGGCCGTATCGGTGGCCCTTGAGGAGACGCAGGTTGGTGTGGGACAGAAGGAGCATACCTCCGTAAGCAAGAGAGAAGTCGGCATTGACGATCTCAACATCATTCGGGTCTTCCGGGATGGGCTTGCCGAACTTGATCTCATCCTCTGCAATGTAGTGGGTCTGGACAGCAGTGGCAACAGCCTCTGTGTTGCCATCCGCAAGCAGACCGCGGAGGTATGGGTCAATGCGCTCGGGGACACGGTCGTGCATGCGGCAGTTGATATCCTCGCGGACCATACCGGCAATGAAGTTCTTGGCCAAATCCTGCAGCTTGGAGTCACCAAAGCCACCCAGGCCACCGTGCTCCTGAATCTTTGCATCCAGCACAGCCAGGACCTCCTCGGGGGTGGTCTTAGAGATGGAACCAGAGGCAAGATGACTGTCTCCCATAGCAGTCTCGATAACCTCGAGAGCACGCGTGGCGAGCTCACGAACCTCGGGCAGGGAGGCAGTCTCCTTAACCGACTTAACACCAGGCTGGAGCTTTGGGAGGAAAGTACGAGCCTCAGCGGGATCGTGGACCAGCTTGGTCAAGTTCTCCACAACGACCACAGTCTGGCGAAGAGTTTCCTGGGGAGTAGCCGGGGTATTGAGGGATCGGGCGAGCAGAGGGGTGAGCATGGCCAACACGGGGGATGTGACGATGGCGACGAAGGTAGTCTGGGACAAAGCGTGGATCGCTTTCTGGAGGGTCTGAGCGGAGGGGTTCTCCATAGTCTTGATCAGAAGAGGAATGCGCGGGGCAACATCGTCGTTGGACAGAAGGGTGGTGAGGGCAGTCATGGTCTTGCAAGACTGCTTAGACACTTCGCTCTTTAGGTCGTGCATGCCGGACTCAACGATAGGGATGAGCTCCTTCAGGGTCTTGCCCATCGCCTCGCGCAGCAAGTCCTTCTGGCGCTCCTCTTCCTTGGTACCCTTGCCCAACTGCGCCTTGACTGCCATCTTCTCGATAAGTGAGTAGGCACCGACAAAGCCTTGCCACTTGCCAGACCCCTTGGCCAGGTAGCGCTCGAGGGCCGGGATCAGACCGTTGACCATAGCCTCGGGGCTGAGACATCCGAAGAGGGCATCGATAGCGTACTGGGCAGCATCACGCACAACGGCGCCCTTGTCAGACAGGGCGTCCAGGACAATGTCAAAGATGCCTCCGTCGTGCAAGAGGAAAATGGCTTCACTAAGAGGGAACTCTCGAGGGAAACGCTCGAACAGAGCACCAACAATCAACATGGCACTCTCGCGCTTGGCGCCATTCTTCTTATCAGAGGCAGCCTTGCGGACATCGGCGAGAACATTGTAGTTCAGCAGGCCTGCACAGCCAGCACCCTGAATGAGCAAGTTGGCCAAGGCATATGCGCCATCAAGGGACTTCTGCGAGGAGTCGGATGTGTAGATAGTGTCGAGGAGGGAGGAAATCTCCTCGGAGGTGGGGGGCACACCGGACGGGCCCTTTGCGACGATGGTCGGCATGGCGGGAGTCTCAGAGGGGGAGACAGTGTGTGGCATTGTCCGGAGAATCAGAGAATCGAAGATCGAGAGTCGATATCAAAGAGAGATATCGGATAAAACGACAGAAAAACGAAGCCCTTGAAGAGAGGGGCAATTTGACCTAACGGAAGATAAAGAAACTGTCCACAGCGCAACTCGCGCACACAAACAGATGAGTAGGATCGGGTTGAATCGTAGAGTATGTACAACAACGATTCTCAGAAACCCAGAAGACCCGAAACACAACAAAAAGAAACACAAAGAGGGGAGAGTGGTCTAAAAAGAAGTAAGAACAATCTTCGCCATCGCCGATTGCTGACCCACCGGCGACCGAATTTTTTTTTTTGCTTACTCATCCAATCAGCGGGCCCGGCGGCGCCATGGGACAAAAAGGCGACTAACCGGATTTGTGTGATTGGATCAGTGATATTGCTGCCTTATTGCCTTGGTGCCTTGATACCTGAAAGTCTGGACTTTATTTATGCCTGAGGCATTAACAGGCATTTGTATGTTCTGCCTGAGGCTTTCACATTCTACGTCACGACAATCACAGGCAGACCGACGTTTCTGACGGGTAAAAGGATGTTCTTTTTCACCTAACAAGCCCCGAGACCGATTCGACAGGAACAAAGTCCGTCCTGGTCTTATCTCCATCAATCCGAGAGGCAGGTCCGAGGCCAGCCTTCACCAAGTATGTTAGTACCTACTAACATACTTGTAGGTAGATATTGTATACTGGGAATGCCGATGGAAATAACGATTTGTACATTACTCCGTAGACTAGATTGAATTATGAATTTACCCAGATCTCCACCGATATCCGTCTTATCCGTAAATTAACCCCTGTTCGACGTTCAACCTAGCTGATCTCAGCCGACATGGCCGCATGGCCCCGGGCCTCGGTAGACAATCCCCCTGTGCCCCGCGTCCAACCGACCTGCATTCGGTCAAGTCGATCATTTGAGTCCGAATCTTTTTTTCCTTCTTTTTGGACATTTATCATCGTCAATCCCACGAGATTCACTCAATTGTTGTTTGTCCCCTTTCATCCCCGCAATTCAACTCCGCCCCCGCAAATCCACCCCCGGACTCCATCGACATAACACAAAATGGCCCTCAGCTGGAGATCAACCCGTCATGTCTCTAAGCTTGCCCAGGTGAGTTTGAATGATGATTCTTTTATTATCTGGCATTTCGGGTTCTCTAACCCTTTCTAGGCAGCACGACCTGTCCTCTCGGCACGTCACTATGCGACCGCCGAGCCCGACCTGAAGACCACCTTGAAGGAGGTCATCCCAGCCAAGCGGGAGCTTCTCAAGAAGGTCAAGGCACAGGGTGATGATGCTATCGGTGACGTGAAGGTCGGAAATGTCATTGGTGGTATGCGTGGTCTCAAGGCCATGCTTTGGGAGGGCTCCGTCCTGGACGCGGATGAGGGAATTCGCTTCCACGGCAAGACAATCAAGGACTGCCAGAAGGAACTACCCAAGGGCACCACTGGCACAGAAATGCTACCCGAGGCCATGTTCTGGCTGTTGCTGACGGGCCAGGTCCCCTCCACGGGGCAGGTCCGTGCCTTTTCGCGCGAGCTGGCCGAGAAGTCCGAACTTCCCACCCACATTCTGGACTTGATCAAGTCTTTCCCCGCCTCAATGCATCCTATGACCCAGTTGTCAATTGCTGTGGCAGCCCTCAACACTGAATCCAAGTTTGCCAAGGCCTACGAGAACGGCATCAATAAAGCCGACTACTGGGAGCCCACCTTTGACGACAGCATTTCCCTCCTTGCCAAGATCCCTCGCGTGGCAGCACTTGTATTCCGCCCCAATGACATTGATGCCGTTGGTACCAAGAAGCTTGACGCCGCTCAGGACTGGTCGCACAATTTCGCTGAGCTGCTGGGAAAGGGTGGCTCGGAGCATGCTGACTTCCACGACCTGCTTCGTCTTTACCTAGCTCTGCACGGTGACCATGAGGGTGGTAACGTGTCTGCCCATGCAACTCACCTAGTCGGAAGTGCCCTGAGCGATCCCTTCCTGAGCTACAGCGCTGGTCTCCTGGGCCTGGCTGGCCCGCTCCACGGCCTGGCAGCTCAGGAGGTTCTGCGCTGGGTGAATGCCATGCAGGAAAAGATCGGAACCAATTTCACAGACGAGGATGTCCGCACGTACCTCTGGGATACCCTCAAGTCGGGTCGTGTGGTCCCTGGATATGGCCACGGTGTTCTGCGCAAACCCGACCCTCGTTTCGAGGCTCTGATGGACTTTGCCGCCACACGCCCCGACGTTCTGGCCAACCCTGTATTCCAATTGGTCAAGAAGAACTCGGAGATCGCTCCTGGTGTGCTTACTGAGCATGGAAAGGTATGTCCAATAGCAGCCTAACATCACCGACCCTTTTCTCAGCTAATGATTTTACTTTCCTACAGACCAAGAACCCATACCCCAACGTCGATGCAGCCAGCGGCGTCCTGTTCCACCACTTTGGCTTCCAACAGCCCCTTTACTACACCGTCGCTTTCGGTGTCAGCCGTGCTCTTGGCCCCCTGTCCCAGCTGATCTGGGATCGCGTTCTTGGCATGCCCATTGAGCGCCCCAAGAGTATCAACCTCTTGGGCCTGCTCAAGAAATAAGTGCCAATATCTTGCCTGGTGCCGCCCAATACTCCTTGGCCTCGACGGTTCAAATGATGAATTTGATGTGAAGCGAGCTTTCCTGCTTTTTATTTTCGTTCGGTTCTTCCTTGAAGAACCTGCTTTCACTTTTGCTCTCCTGTTTATCTCATCGACTAGACAGAAGTACATCCATAGACTACGTGCTTTTGCAAAAGTCTAATCAATTAGAGCTCAGTTTTGAGCGACTCGTCTTTTAAGCGACCTTCAACACTTTCAGATGGCTTTCAGATCACCTTACGATTTTGAACCAAGGTACACAGGTAAGATGTCTAGACATTCATATGCTCTGTAAGAAGAGTTTCAACATCCTCTCCTCGATCCCACCGCTCTTGCTGGCCGGATAAAGATATGGACTCAGCCAGTGGCCGCTGTGCCTCTTAAATGGTATGAGCATTATAAGTGGCCTTTGTCGTATATATCTCCAATGGGTCGCAGCCATTCCCACGCAGTTTCTCCACCCAGTCGTTGTCCCCTCTGATGTGTGCTTTCAAGCTATACTGGTTGAGAAAGGTCCTCCTACCGCCTTCACAAGGGCATTCGATGTAGGAAGAGATGCCCTGGCCCTTTCTTGTGTAGTCTCAGCAAGAGCTTTCTCGCAGGCAGCTTGGTGATGCTCGAATGATGAACTGAGTGGAGTCTGATACGAGCAGCCTGACGTCCTCTGACAGGGGTACATATAAGGTGTGGGGCCTCGCGAATTGCCTCTGACAGAATGTAAACCTATTGTCGTCGAATGTTTCGTTCTTCAAATTCAACGGCCACTTGCATGCCAACTTTGTGTTATAAACGACATTGATGCGCGCATAGTAGCTAATGAAGCTCCCTGCACCAACGGTTTCCGTTCCATTATCCGAACTGAATAAGAGATGTTGGGTCTGTTCGTCTATTATGTCGTACTGGCAATCGGGCTAGGCAAAGTTGATTCATCAGGCTCGTCGCCTTGTGTCGGGAACACTGTAGCATGTAGAAGGTCGAGATCGGTAGCGGACACTTCAATTTGCTGGTAAAAGTCGTGCTCGAGGAGAGCTCGGTCGATGTCCGCGTCGGTTGGGTTCAAGAGTATCCTGAATGAGACTGCTGATGGCGACTGTTCGTATCTTGCATCCTATTGACAGGAAACGCAAAAATATGCGAATCCCAACACTGTCCTATATGGTACGTGGACGAGCTGTCCACAATGCGAGACCAAATGCCGATCTACCGATCTAGGTTCAATTTCCACTTCCTACATATACCTCTTATCGTTCCTTCCCACTCTGGGTCCCTGCCTAATTAAGTAATTGAAGTCATCGTCCTGGAAGCTGCAATGTCCTCACCACCGCCTCCCCAATGGGATTCTGACGCATGATCTCGATGTCTGGTTAATAAAATAATGGAATTGTGTAGCAAACGTCTAATCTTATAGCATAATCTGTCTAATGACGAGGCTCACAACCGGACACTCCCACTGGACAGTTGGTCCCACTCGTTCTGTCCATACGGCGAGTAGCTCTCCTCACCAGGTGCAATCCACAAGAAGCGGTCATCCTTACCCTCAGGGGCTTTAGTCCCAATCAAGGCAGTATCAACACCCTCGTCACGAAGTGGCACCTTGTTCTGCTTATGGTTGTGGATGTGAGTGGGATTCTCGACGATGCGAAGGAACAACGGAACAGCATATTTGGGCAGCTTGGAGCGTATGAATCTCGCGAGCTCTGTGAAATCAAATGTGCGACGTGCATCCGGGCTAATTTGAATTGCTGCACACCCGGCGCGTCCCTCGTGATTGGGAAGACGGACGCCGTACACGTTGGCTTCGGTGATGCCAGGGAATTGGCCTAGGACCTCCGAAACCTCGGCGGTCGCTCTATTACATTGGCATTATCATTAGCTTTGCTTCCGGAATTCTCAGCGCATATCAGTGTGCTAAGCGACTTACACATTCTCGCTCTTCCAGCGGAAAGTATCCCCAAGTCGGTCGAGGAAATACCACCGGCCATCGCTCTGCCTGCGCAGAGCATCTCCAGATCGATAATAGAGATCACCCTTCTTGAAGACATCGCGCAAGAACTTCTTATTGGTCGCCTCATCATTGTGCCAGTACCCCTGGAAAGCGTCTTCACCGGGGACGTTCACGATAATCTCACCTCCCTGCTCATAAGGCGAGCGAATGGCAAAGCCAGTCTTGGGATCCCGCAGAATATCTCCAGTCTCTGGGTCAATAGCAACAGGGATGAAGACATTATGCAGTATACAACGCATGATCAAACCGTGGTGACCGACACTCCCAGCCGTGAAAGGACCACGATTGTAGTTGAAGAGACCAAAGACACCTTCTGTGCTATTAAAGAACTCCCCAACTTCCGCGACTCCAAACCGCTCCCGGAACCGCTCCCAGATATCCGGCCGGAGACCGTTACCGTACATACAGCGGACCTTGTGGTTTCGATCTTCAGGCGACGGGGGCGGTGCGAGCAAATATCGTGCAGTCTCTCCGACATACACGAAAATAGTTGACTCCGAGTGGCGAATATCCGTCCAGAATCTACTGACGCTGAACTTGGGTGCAATGGCGACGCTTACACCCATTACCAGACACGAGATTATGGTGATAGCCGCCGTGCCGTGATACAAAGGCATACAGCTGTACCAGCGATCACCAGCTGGGCCAGGCGTATCTCCCATCATGGGACGGCGGACGAAGAGAGTGGTATAGAGTCTGGACATCGTGAACGCACAGCCCTTAGGCATACCTGTGGTGCCAGACGTGTATAGGAGAATCGCCGGGAAGTCGCCGGTCACATGCTTGCTCAGTTCCTTGGGTGGGAGGGCTGTTGGGAATGTTCTGATATGCGCCTTTAGGGAGCTATCTAGTGTCATTGGCTTCATTCCCAGATTGCGTGTGATAGCGTCATGGCTTTCTTCAACGCGGGCGCGACAGTCGGCACTTTCGTCGACGAGGAGAATGGTCGCGTCGCTGATCTTCAGGCAGTGCAGTAACGCGTCGCCGGTGAGGTTGTAATTTATCGCGGCGGGGGCACATCCAATGCTCCAGAGGGCGACCCATGCGATGAGGTACTCGTTGCTGTTCTGGAGGTAAAGGGCCACGAGGTCGCCTTTCTTCACGCCGTGTGATAGGAAGAAATGGGCATATTGGCAGGCTTGGTCTTGGATTTCTCGGTAGGTGTATGATCTCTCGCGAGTCCAGAGACAGATCATGTCCGGGTATCGCTTCACGGTCTGTACTAGGACGAACCATGGGTTTCCTTGGTTTTGACTAACTAAGGGCTGATCAGTATATGATTTGCAATTGTGTGAATAGTATATAAACATACCAGCATTGGCATATTGTCGTTCTGCGTTCTTCACCGTGAACAACCCTGATATATCCTTCTTGATATGAAATTTGGCATTCAAATATCCTGCGACTGTAGCTCCTCCGACGAGGGCAGCGGCGGCGGTTCCTATCATATGTCAGTAAATCAATTGTAATCATCCTTTCGCCAAGTACCTATATCCATCTTCCCAATGCTTGTTTTGGTATGAAAGTAGTCAAGACAGGGAGTACTCACCTTGACAGTATAAGTACAGAGGTATAGAAATGAGGGGATATCACTATCAGTTATTGCCGCTGACCTCGGCACAAATCGATCTCCGCACTTTTGTGTAATTGGCCAGAAAGTGGGCTCTTAGACCAAATATCACCTACGTAATCTCGATTTGGTCAATTGGATTGGCCGATTTGGTTGGGATTCCCCAAGAAATGCGGGGGAGGCTAATAACAATCTTGACCTCGGTCGCATATAACTTTGCATAATTATAAACCGTCCTTTTGCCATATTTAATCTCGGCATGTAGGACCTTTCGCCGCTAACTTCACGCACTGGTCAAAGAATGATCTATGCAAACAGAGAGTTCACGATGACACTACTGTTGGGGTGTTGGGGATGAGATATCGAGCCATTTCTGTGCCCATCAAGGATCATTGGATGTTGCAGGTTTAGGAATGCGTTTATCCTATTATTAATTATTATATTTTTTGAATGTACTATAGCCACTTACTTCCATGCATTGGCGACTCGCTCATATATTTACCGCTCCTTGTTCTAGTTGAACTGTTGATCATTGCAGGGGTACGGGCTACTCCAGGCTTAGGTAAAGACTTCACCGCAGATATGAGAATGAAGGGCAGGATGCGAAATGACAAGTCTGGTCGAATAATATTGAAATGCAAAACTCGTACGATGACGGACAAAAGCTCGGTCGTCTCTGGTTGCCATAAAACGATAAGTCACGGAGAGTAGAGCAAACCAGTTGTCAGCGGCGCTGTTGAGCGATGTCATGGCAGTTCGGTGTCATTCCTGATCTTCGTCCCGCTTCGGGAGAATACCAGCATGCCGAGAGAGATATAGGCATGACCGACTGCTTCTGCCAAGTGTCCGTACCTTCGTTTGAGAAAAATTGGCAATTGCTTCCAATTCGCGCCTATACCCTGTAGATCAGTGATAATTCAAACCAGCCGTGGCGCATCACTCAGATATTATCATTTGCATCTCACCCTGCAGATCACTCAGATATCATCCTTTGCATCTCACCCTACAGACCAATGAAAATATATCAAACCAGCCGTGCCGCCTCACTTAGATATCGTCCTGTGCTAAAGGTTCAATATTAGCCCGACTGAGATCAATCTGTCTCTAACTGCTGACAGTTATAGCCAAGCTCTATCCAGTCATGGAGGGTTCCGAAGTCACCGTGCCGCAGAACCCCAATACGGATTTAGGGGCCACCTTGAAGGGCCTCCAGGATACTGGGCCCATAGGGCTCAAAGCTGCATTTGGCCCTGAGCGCAAAATCCGCCCAAAAGGCCCGGGATTTTGCTATGGATATTGATGGAGCTCCTCAGAGAGCCAATGCTCCAAGACAACAAAAAGAACAACAAGAGGGCAAAGGTGTAAGGAACTCGGTTTGACCACCAAGTCGAGAAGTCGCTCTCTAAGATCGAAGCCTTACTATCGCACATGGTTAGTAAACTGATGGACGGGGAGGCAGTACGCAACCATTACCTGATGGAAGATGGAAAGTTCGTCTCTTGCGTCCTTGTGCCTGGACACAATTATTGCGATAACTGCCTATGGGGCGATCGCAAAGAGCGCTGCCATTGGGGACCCGAAAGCGCACAAACCCCTGAATGTCGACCGAGCAAGTGGAAGGCTAGTGAGACCTGCGACGAGCAACAAGCCGCCTCATGCAAGAAAAGTGTTGTTGGGGCGGGTTGGTTGCTAACTTTAATCCGTTAGCTGATACCGATGGGGCACCGCCATAATATTTTCATTTAGCCGTGGTCGTGGTTGTCTAGAATGAGTTTACGTTGAGAATTGTTATGCTGATAGTCCAGACTGCGACAATTAAAATGCCTAGAGTATCAGAGTATCAATCTGACAATAAATATTTTGTCTTATTTCATGGTTACTCTCATGCAGCTCAACTGTAAAACGAAATTATCTCTCTCAGCTCTCAGCGAGTGCAGATCGGAAAGAAAGAAGTGACGTTGGCCTCTGCCACCTTGGCTGGCACGTCTGGAGGAGCCATTGCATATGGAGTCGGGCATATGAATGGCGAGAAAGGCCTTTCCGCCCGGAGGTGGCTCTTCATTGTGGAAAGTGCGCCTTCGTGTGCATCTGCGATCTTTTCTTGGTTTTTTCTCCCACATTACCCAGAGACTTGAGGTTTCTTAACGTCGGACGGAGGACAAAGCACCAGCAAACAGCGACTCGCCATGGAAGGAGGCCAGGGTGCAGCCAAAGCAATGACTTGGGTTGAAGCCAAGGCAGTGTTGACGGAATGACGACTTTATGCCCACTACCTAGTATGTACAGCATTTGCATCAGGCGTTGACTGATATTATTAGGTATACTTTCCCATTTCCGTGCCATTTTCTAGTCTGTCACTTTTCACACCTACAATTACCGCCGGCCTGGGTTATGAAAATCTACAGGCTCAGTTGATGACGGTTCCTCCATATGCTGTTGCATATGTAGTAACTCTTGCAGTCTCCTGGTCTGCAGACTATTTCAATGCGTCTGTTCCCGTTATATCCTCCCCATATTCATAGCCAATTGGAATCGCTAATCCAAAGATACAGTCGTGGGGTGCATTCTTCTATTTTCTCATTGGTTGATGCCATAGGCTTCCTAGCCTCTGCTGTTCTTCCTGCGGACGCGTATTTGGTGAAGAATCCTCATTTCTGGTCTACACACAACATTATATACGGCGAGGAATATATGCTAACGTGAGCTCGCCACCACCGCTGCGGATGCTTTCTCATGCATTCCTCCTCTTTTGGGGCTGGCTGTCTTCGAATCTCCGCTCAACCGCTCGAATTGGTTTGGCCATTGCCATGAATATTTCTTTTTCGGGCGCCTGGCCAAATTGTAGCTGTCTGGATCTACAACTCCAACCAAGCCAAGAAAGGCTTTCCTATTGGCCATTGGACTAATGCAGCCCTCCTGCTGCTTGCTTCTGTTGTATGTGTGGCTTTGAGACTATACTACGGGTGGCTAAACCGGCGATTCCCATAAGACCAGATCAGATATATCTACTGAGATATTTTGGATATGTTTTGGCGTTGTTGGGATATATGTGTCATAGAACAGAACCCACGTATGTTGTTTCCGAGTAGACTGAGCCTGGTCTTGACACCCCAATGGCGATGATTAGGCTCAATGTAGCAGGCCAAATGCTTGATCTCTTACCGGCTGTCCCCAGCACAAAACGCCTATAGGAAGTCGCAAGTCCGTCTCTGTTCAAACCGAGGCCCGCGAGGTATATACACCCATCACCTTGTGGTCATGCTTGTTCGTGTTGATCCTACAATGTAGGATCATGATTTGCTGCCTTTTGAAGATTCAATTTAGTCCGACTCAATTCTGCGACCGGGCAGAGAATATGAACAAGGCTTCGATGATCCGCTTGAAGTTCGAATTGGGTATTCGGTGGTCATTGACGGATTTTACGCCAAGATGGATGTTCTTTACGGTGATTTCTTTCTACCATTGTCTATTTTGCTTGGACCATGGCTTGGGTTATTGTGTATATGTTGGATGTTCAATTGCAGGAAAGTCCTATCGGGATGGATTTTGATGCCTACAATATGTACGTATGTATCGTATAGGTGAAGATAGGAACTGTTAGTTAGATTGCATTGTTACTAATTTAGTAAATATGTTGAGCTCAGAACTGTTGATCTCACAATTGATCTCCTATCATTTCCGTATTTAACCCACCGACGCCAACCGCCCGGGTGGATTGGATGTGCTATAAGGGACACATCATTGGTGGGGGAGAGAGTGTGGATCTGACCTTGGAGAAATGACGCAGGAAATGAAGTTGCCCGCGTTGCCCGTGTTAGCACAATAACGTGATTATTGAAACAAGTAAGTAATTCCGGACTCAAGAGAATAATATGTTTACATGTTCATACTTATATCTACGTATATCCACGTATATCCTTGTGAGGTGGAATATAGCAAAAAGGGAAATTATTCGGACAAATAGGAGTCGAGTCAATTCCAATCGGAAAACATAAGCTGTTGGGATGACTCAACGGAGTATTCAACCATATCCCTCCATCATTTCACATGAAGAAATCGGATAACCCAAATGACCAATTTTAACTTCTTCCCCTGTCGAATCCTACTCCAATGAGCTGACTGCATTTATTCTCCACACGATTGTCCCGGTGAATCACTCCGGGGGCCCTGCCCCTCTCCTGTCATCCTGTTATACTCGGTACTCTCCTCTACCTTCCCTCCTCACCATACCATCATGTCGCTTCCAATTCGCTCATTGTCCCGAACGTTGGTACGGTCCTACGGCACTGTCCAGGGTTCGCCCAGTGCTGCTTCGTTGACCAGCATCCCCATCACCTTAACCGACGCTACGGGTGCTACCGCTCCCCGGACCACCTGGACTCGGAATGAAGTAAAGCAGATCTATGAGACTCCATTGAGCCAGCTCACGTACGCAGCAGTAAGTAAAATTCACCATATGGCCTAATGTCGACCTTCAGCTGAACTGACCCCACTCCAGGCTGCTGTTCACCGCCGCTTCCATGACCCCTCGGCTATCCAGATGTGTACTCTGATGAACATCAAGACCGGTGGATGTAGTGAAGATTGTTCGTACTGTGCCCAGTCATCCAAGCACAACACAGGTCTAAAGGCCACCAAGATGAGCCCTGTCGACGAGGTCCTCACCAAGGCTCGCAATGCCAAGGCCAATGGTAGCACTCGGTTCTGCATGGGCGCGGCTTGGCGCGACATGCGTGGCCGCAAGACCAGTCTCAAGAACGTGAAGCAGATGATCACCGGAATCCGCGAGATGAACATGGAGGTCTGCGTGACCCTAGGCATGATTGACGAACACCAGGCCAAGGAGCTGAAGGAGGCCGGCCTCACCGCATACAATCA